CCCCCAAACATACCCCCCGTTTCTCTGCCCCCTTTCTTAGGTGTACTGGTCTTTTTGGCCACTCTCTTCTTGAGCGACCTGCTAATTCGTGTCTCTTCTATCTTGCAGGTGTGTTGTCGTCGGTGATGGTGCGGTTGGAAAGACTTGCCTGTTAATTTCGTACACAACGAACAAGTTCCCCTCGGAATATGTTCCTACCGTCTTCGACAACTATGCTGTCACGGTCATGTAAGTCATTGCACTCTGGCCCTTTGCACGACGAGCACCCTGAAACACCTTTGGGTGAAATGCGCTACATCATGCCTTCGATCGCGTCATTGCCGCCCTCTCTTCCTGACTTCGGATCCAAGATGATCACATTGGCGACTCTTCCGCAATAGATAGCTGACTCGATGACTATCATTCTTGCGCATTAGGATTGGCGATGAGCCATACACCTTGGGTCTCTTTGATACCGCCGGTCAGGAGGATTATGATCGCCTCCGTCCTCTTTCCTACCCCCAAACCGATGTCTTTCTCGTCTGCTTCTCCGTCACTTCCCCCGCCTCCTTCGAGAACGTCCGCGAAAAATGGTTTCCCGAAGTCCACCACCACTGCCCTGGTGTTCCTTGCTTAATTGTTGGCACTCAAACCGATTTGCGCGACGACCCCGCTGTTCGGGAAAAGCTTTCTCGTCAAAAGATGCAGCCCATTCGCAAGGAAGACGGAGACCGGATGGCCAAAGAACTGGGTGCTGTGAAATACGTGGAGTGCTCCGCCTTGACGCAGTACAAGCTCAAGGACGTCTTTGATGAGGTTCGTTCTGCCAGCGCCCCGTGATTTCGCATGTAGACGAAGCTGACAGATCGGTTTGAAGGCCATCGTTGCCGCCCTGGAGCCTGCTCCCAAGAAGTCTAAGAAGTGTGTGGTATTGTAAAACAATCACGTCTCTTACATCGCAGGCTGGTACGCGCCAGAGGATTGCACACTTGTCGTCGGGGCATCACAGACATGTCGTATGATTTTGGAGGAACGGATTGTTTTATTTCACAATACGGAGTTTTGGGAATTTCACCCGGAGGAGGAGCTGGCTTACTCGACCACCGTCTAACCTGAGACTTTTACGTGTTTCTGTCTCCGATCATTGAGTGAATATCATCCATGCAGCCCGCAGCCCTGACACCCGAGTGCAAAACCCGCCGTGACTCGGTTGCACCGGGGAAACTGCTGAGGGCTCTCCTAAGCAAGAACAGGGCCACCAACATATACTCTACCATATCGCCCATCAGCTCGTCTTCCGATTGATGCCGTGTACAACTGGCCCCCGATTTGAACCCCTCCGACCTCTTCCCACTATCTTTGCTCATCTCTCCGTGCTCATTCGATTGCCCTTCCACTGTCTACTTATCTCCCTCCCGCCTTATCCGATCCTTTTCCTCTTCTCTTTTCCCTTCTACTTCCTTTCTAAACTCTCATCGTCTTTATTGGCGTTGGAAGTCGAGGCGTCTTCTTTTGGCTGGCTGATGGTTCGATCTGTGTTCTTTTTCTTCTTTTCACATCCCTCAATTTGTTATCATGCCTATCACAATTTGCTGTGCAATTTTCACCCAAATCGTTCGTGCGAGGCCTGGATTAGATAACACAGATACAATAGTGATGACCGAAGTTTCATTTCAGATTCTATCATTCGAGATTGTGTTGCGTGTAGAGAAGAGTTGGACAGAGATGGGCCCGACCATTGATAAGGGCATGCTTTTGCTGGGATGTACCTGCATCATATTGCTAAATGACCTCACTGACTCATTACACACATAGCATCATCATCGCATGCATCGCATTTCACAGCTCGTCCTTGACCTCCTTCTCAACTGCGACGTCCTCAACCTCAACCTCGACTTCAATTTCGCCCTCGGGCGTTGCTTTGCGTCCGTACCACCCACCCAGATCCTCACCTGCACCAGCCTTGACCATGCTGGTGATAATCTCAAAAGCAACCTGAGCTGCTGCCAGAGCCGTGGTCTCACCCTTGTTGTCGTAGCTAGGCGACACCTCGACAATATCCGCACCGACGATGTTCAATTTCTCAATGCCACGCAGGATACGGATGAACTCTCGGGTCGTCCAGCCACCAGGTTCGGGGGTACCAGTACCTGGGGCGGTCGCCGGGTCCAGAACATCGATGTCAACGGACAAGTAAACTGGTTGTTCTGGATCCAGACCGATGCGCTCGATAATCCGATCCACGATACCCATGGGGCCCAGCTCGTCAATATCATCTGCGTGAATCCGCATGAATCCCTGCTCGGGGCCAGGGTTGGTGTAATCACTATCGTCGACGCCCGTCAGTCGTGTGCGCAGTCCCGCATGTGCGGAGGTCGCATTGCAGATGAGGCCCTCCCGGCTGGCCTTGTGAAAGAAGCTGCCGTGGTTGAAGTGCGACTGCTCCGAGAGCCAGTAGGCCGAGTACCGCACGGGGTTCCAGGTATCGAGATGCGCGTCGAAGTGAAGCACTGTGATGGGCTTCTGGTAGATCTGATACAAGGCGCGCAGGGCAGGAAGGGCAACGCTGTGGTCGCCTCCCAGCGTGACGAGCTTCGACTTTCCGGCCGAAATCCCCTTGGTGCCGTACGTGGAGGAAGCGCGGGTCACGGCCGGCCGGGAGCCCAGCTCCAGGAAGGCTTCGTACATTTGCCGCTCGGCCAACCCATTGTCGAACGGGGTGATTGGAATGTCGCCACAGTCCTTGACCGTTGCCCACGATTGGTACGGGTTGATTCCCGCTCGGGTGTTGTAGCTGGTACCGGCCATCTGACGGGCGCTGGCCGCACGGATGGAGCGGGGGCCGAAACGGGCACCTGTTGTTTTTGAGGGAGGCGTTTAGGCAATTGGGCACGGGGAAGATAGGGCGATGCAGATGGCTATTGGAGCTTACCTGGTCTGTAGCTGACTGCCGTGTCGAAGGGGGCGCCAATAACGGCAATGTCGTATCGCTCGTCCGGTTCGACCAGACACTTGACAGGCTTCATGTGGGCGAAGCTGGCAATGCCGGAGAAGGTAAACTTTACAAATTGTCGAACGTTAATGAGGTAATTAAAGAAAAGAAGGGGTGGGGAAGGATTCTTGATTAGCCCACCTCCTGATCCCATTTCTTTAGCAATTCCTCGCGCAATCGCTCGGGGATCGTTTCGTCATTGTCGTGATGAGCGTGGGAGAGAGCGGTGCCGGCCAAAGCCAGACAGGCTGCCCAGGTGAGGGATCGCATCGCGCAATTGGCAATTCTGCTTCTCTCTTGGGAACTGTAGACAGTGAGCAGTGGGAATAGAGTTGAAAGAAAGAAGCTTCGATGCAACAGACTTAGGGGGCGGTGTCTCTTATAGGAATTTAGAGCGCTGAGAGTTGATCTTCCCTTCGCTCTTCGATGACCTCGTCCAGGCTCCGCCGGAGAGGAAGTGGACGGGCTTATCGATAGGGGATGCGGTGCTGATTGGCTGTGTTGAGGAACCCGAGAGGTAAATTGACGGCCTTGTGGCCTGGTTTCTCTGACGTCGTGAGAACCTTCCCTTTCGGGTTGCTCTTCGGCATTTCAACAAGACCATTCCATCGATTATTATTCAATCGGATTTCTCATCCACTCCTCCTCCACATTCTTGGCTTTGTTCTTACTATGGACTACAGTGTATGAGTGCATCAATGAATGTGTACGGTCTCTGTGAGCCCACTTTTAGTCCTCAATAATTGGTTGCATCTTCCTACCCGCCGTACCAGTCTGGTGGCTCTAGATTTAGCTCCGAAATAACCTACCGCGGAGCTTTGCTCGGTCTTCCTTGCCTTACCGAAAACCTTGTCGAAATTCAGTCCATACATACAGACAGGTAGACCGGCAGACAATCAAGCAGGCGTAACTCTTTCAATTCAGAATTCCATGCGTCGAGTCGTTGTAACAGGGTTGGGAGCAGTCACACCTTTGGGGGTAGGTAAGTACTCATTCTCGATTCAAAATCAATCCGCCCGCGTCTGCTCCGCGGCGTGTCCCTTCAACGGTCTCCGGCTCCACTCCTGGCATGCCCAAAAGGGAAGGTCGAGTACAACTTCAACTGCTTGCCCAGGAGGGTAGCTGGACACGAAAGCGGGACCTAATCGTTTCCTTTAGCTTTTTTTATTTTCCGTTTGCTAAGCTGAGACGCAGGCATCCGTCGAACATGGAAACGTCTGTTAGACGGTCATTGTGGCATCGTCAATGTCGTGCATCGCGATGCTAGGTTCAAGGACGTGCCCTGTCAGGTCGCTGCCGTTGTGCCGCAAGGGGCCCGGAGCGAAGGCGGATGGACGGCTTCGGAGTGGTTAAGCAAAGACGTGAGTATTGCTCTGGTCATTGCATAGGCTCCAACTGATCGTCCGTGGCAGGATGAGCGCAAGATGGCTCGATTTGCGCAGTACGCAATGGCTGCTTCGGAAGAGGCTTTGGAAGATGCCGGCTGGATGCCCACGACTTTTGAACAGAAAGAAGCAACGGTGCATACCCGAAGTCAAGTTTTCCACTGGTGCTTTGTTTCTTTACTAAGGGTGTCATGTCTAGGGGATATGTCTCGGGTCGGGTATTGGTAACTTTGACGAGATTTACGACACGGTTGTGGCGTATGAGAAGGGAGTGAGTGTCCTTGTTGAACATCAAGGATAAACATCAGCTGAAACTGTGCCAGGGTTATCGCAAAGTGTCGCCTCTGTTTGTACCCAGGTTGTTGATTAACCTCGGTGCTGGTCACATCTCTATGAGATATGGGCTCATGGTTGGCAGACAAACCTCCTCCCAATACCCTATCATGACTAACTTGACATCTAGGGGCCGAACCACGCAGCGACTACAGCATGCACCACAGGTGCACACTCCATCGGCGATGCAGCCCGATTCATTGCGTGCGGTGATGCTGATGTGATGCTCGCCGGCGGAGCGGAGTCTTGTATCCATCCTTTGGCGGTTGGCGGTTTCGCTAGGGCCCGCAGTCTGGCTACCAGCTACAATGACAACCCGCAGAAGGCTTCTCGGCCATTTGATGCGGATCGAGAGGGCTTTGTAGTAGGAGAAGGGGCTACAGTGATGGTCCTAGAGGTAAAGCCTTCTTGGGGGCGGATTATCTTTCCGTCAAGTGCTAACCCTACTTTTAGGAGCTCGAGCATGCGAAGGCACGAGGAGCTCGTATCTATGCGGAGCTTAAAGGATACGGCTGCTCTGGGGACGCGCACCATATGACTGCACCCAAGGAGAATGGAGAAGGCGCATTTTTGGCCATGAAAAAAGCGCTCAAGAACGCAGGGCTTCCGCCTTCCGCTGTCGACTACATCAATGCCCACGCCACTTCAACAGTTGTGGGCGATGCGGCGGAGAATAGTGCCATCAAAGCTCTGCTTCTCGGTCCAAGCGGAAAGCAGAAAGCTACAGAGGTCAATATCAGCAGCACCAAGGGTGCTGTCGGCCACCTTCTTGGTGGTGCTGGCGCCATTGAGGCCGCCTTTGTCGTTCTCGCAGTCAATGAGGTAGGCGTGTTCTTCTCAGACTCGAACAAGCTTTGTCGTGGAAATACTAACAGTGCAAATCAGAATGTCATGCCGCCAACAATCAATCTGGAGCGGCTAGCAGATGGATTCAATTGCAATTATGCGCCGAGCGAGGCGCAAGAGCGCCGTATTGACGTGGCTTTGACGAACAGCTTTGGATTTGGAGGTACCAACAGCAGTTTGTGTTTCTCGAAGCTCATCAACTAGATGAGGTGTCTCATCATATTGTTGTGTGGTCTTTTTGCATAGATGCTGCACTGTATCAATAGCATGTACAGTAGTTTAGCGTGGACATGTCATACTTCAGCTGCAGAGGATACCTTGTCCGCCTCTCATCGAGATGTGATGCTGAGATACTCGACACAGTCAGGTTATGAGAATGTATTTTATAGACCATTACTTAATCCTAAATAATCAGAAGTGTTCAGAGGATACGTGATCTGCGTTACAAGCCTAATGCCCTCGATCTATGTTTGGTGTTTGAGACTGGTCAATAGTTCAGCTCTTTCTTCTCAAGATATGATCAAGATACAAGAGAAAAGCTCAATAAGCTTCAAATAGATAGACACATATTCTCCAACCTTGAATCGATTGTACATGTACACATTGATCTTGCGATTTCCACCAAGTCAGAGAAGCAGGGATTCCTTCACCAGTCCGCGCACGTGACCCAACCCCATGCGGGAAACCCCCCTCTCTCTCCCCCGGCCCCGGACGTAGCCTCGACCATCGCATCGCAAGCCACGCTACTATTACTACAGCTGCTGCTGTTTCAACGCTACGCCGTCGTGCTGGGTTGTCGCAACATCCCGATCCTAACACCACCCCTCCTCCCGACCAGTCGATCAGCATCCCCACTGAATCTCCTCTCCTTAGACACGATCTAGCTGCTTCATCTCCTCCAAAACCCACCACCCTTTCGTTCTTTACATGACAGCGTCCCGCCCGTCGTCACCCTCACTCTCTCTCTACGCTCCGAAACCCGCACCGTGGACATATTATCAATCTTCCCAGTTTTGCAAAGACGGGCCACGGTAGTAGGGAAACGAAATATCACCAGCCGTGGTCGTAGTCGTGGTCGTGATCGTGATCGTGGCTTCTTGGGTTTATATCACATTTACTATTCGAATCAGCCCTGCCCCCGGGGCTCGTTGTGTCGAGTTTACAAATCATGGCGACTTCCAATAACGGTGTGTTCCGCGTTTTTCTTCTCGTCGCTATGTTTCTGTCTGTGTGTCTGTGAGGTCGTAATGGAGGGAGAGGGATGGCGGATACTACTGGAGAAGAATATTGGGCTAATCCGTGACGTACGCTGCAGCCCCCTCGGTCGCATCGTCATCATCATCATCATCATCATCATCAACAACAACAACAACAACTGCTGGCAGTCTCGTTAATGCGTCCGGATATAAATTCTCCGAGAAGGATGTGAAGCCGGGGAAGATCAAGTTGAAGAAGTCGGCGAAGCTGGGGGGTAGGAAGAAGGCTGATGGTATGTTTTTATCTTTCTTTACTCGGTTCTCATCTTCCCCTCGTGCTGTGATTGTTTCTATTTGGGAAAGGTGCGCTCAGGATTCCTGGGGCGGAGGGCGGAGGGAGGGTGAAGATATTGTTTCGATGGGTGGAAAGAGACGCAGAAGACGTTTGGGTTTCCTTTTGGAACTAGGGAACTAGAAGGAAAGATGCTAATGAAACCTCTTTCACGCGCGATGCAGAACCCCCGGCCTCCCCCGGCTCATCCCCAATTCTTCCGGAGATCGACGAAAAGACTATGGCCGCCTTCCCGACGGGCAAGCCGCGGGAAGAAGATCATCTGGAGACGGTCATTTGTAAGACCTGCAAGAGGCCGGTCCTCAAGCAGAATGCCGTGGAACACATCCGCGGCTGTATTCGAGCGAAGCAGGAGAAGGCGCGCCAGCGGAAGGAGGCGCGCGATGCGGCCAATCGGGCCAAGGCCGGCGATAAGGATGATACCGAGGAGGTGGGCGTGGGCGGCGCCGGCACCGGCGGTGCTGGCGGACCCGGCGGGGAGAAAGGGGAGGGTGGAGAGGATTCGTCGATGAAGGGGCAGAAGGGCGCCAAGAAGAGCGCCGTGAAGGGAATGGCGGTGGAGATCGGGGCGAAGAAGGGCACGAAGCGGAAGACGGAGGCCGGGGATGGCGACGACAAGGATAGCAAGGAGCAGCCCAAGACGAAGAAGAAAAAGAAGGAGGAGCCCAAACCGAAGACCGCCAAACCGAAGGGTCCCGTGGATGTCGAGAAACAGTGCGGTGTTACTCTGCCCAATGGGGCCCAGTGTGCGCGCTCTTTGACTTGTAAGAGCCATTCGATGGGTGCGAAGAGAGCGGTCCCTGGGCGTTCGTTGCCATACGACATGTTGCTGCAGGCGTATCAGAAGAAAAACCAGGCGAGGCAGCAGAGTAAGTTCCTCTTTCTTCTCGTGTCAGTATAGTGGAAACCGGCGGGGCTAATGGACTTTTGACAGAGGCTGCTATCGACGCCAACGCGCCGCTGCAGGACGAGCAAGATAATAACGGTCCGGTCGACTCGGATGAAGAGAAGGATGCTGTGATGGCGGCGATTACGCGCTCGCATCCACAACCCCTTGTCAGTCACACCTTGATTCCGACCAAAAAGAAGTACCAGTATGTCCGCATCAAAGAGATGCTGTCTCATGCTCTGGGCGGCTCGCGCGGCGGTGGCCTCTTCTCGACCGGCGACCATACCTCATCTACGTCTTCCCTCTTTTCCGATGGGAATCTTTTCACCCCCGTGGACGAAGTCGACATGGCTTTACCGGTCTCTGGAACTGTGCAGGATAATGCGACAGATGCTGATGCGAAAACTCCGGCGGCACCTGCACCCAAGAAACTTTCCGTGGCGGCAAGCTCGTGAGTTTCTGGTCGCGTGGGCGAATGGTTTATGAATTCGGTACTTTTTGACGTGTTGGATGGCTTCTTCAGGTTGTTGCCCATTGTTTATTGAGGGGTTACAAACGGCGATGGGTCAGCGGTTGGAGGCATGGACGGGTGGGTGACGGCGTTCTAAGGATGTTTCAACTTTGCTGCGCTCTTTTGATTTCTGTGATGATATGATACCCCGTGTTGAGTGTGCTTGGATGCATGCATGCATTGATTGTTGCGTTGCTTGGTGTACAGTTGTGTCTAAAATGGGTTGACGTGTGATTTGATAGAGATTCTAATGCAACTTCACATCAGATATTGTCAGTTTGTACTACTTCTTAGACCTTGTCCATATTACGAAACCTTCTTTGATAAGTTGCGCGTGTTGTTCACCTGAACACTGTGGAGTACTAAACTGAGGGCATGTCAATGACTGCCTCAGGCCACCACCGCGATCTCCGCCGAACGGCGACAAAAGCCCGCCCACCGAATGCCCTTTCTTTCACCTCACACTCCTTTCTTTTAACACCGCGCAAAGCTCGGCGCGGCTTTGCAGGCGAGGCCTCGGTCCGACCTCAATTCTTTTCCAACTCTCAACATACGTTCAACACTCTACAGACAGTCCAGAAGAACCCCATCGCCCGCCCCCCTCAACTCCGATCCGTCCATTGTCGAGTCCACCTCACCCGATTGAATTCCGATCCCGCCTCGCCCTTCTTACCTACCTACGCACCCACCACCCCGCCCTCCTCCTCCTCCACCAGCTACAAGATGGGAAACTCCGTTCCCGACCTCGACGCGGTCGGCGTGAAAGCCGAACCGGAGCTGGCCGACATGCTCCGGCGCGAGGTCGCTAGTCTTCTGGGGCGCAACAACCTGAACTTTCCCGGAGCGCAGCCGGTCAGTTTCGCGACGCGACATCTTACCGAACTCCAACGGGAGGACTACTACGTCTGCGAGAAGACGGACGGCATCCGATGCCTGATGTACTTTGCGCACGGGGAACCGGACTCGGAAACGCCGGAGGTGCACTACTTGATCGACCGCAAGAACGACTACCGGTGGGTGCCGGGGCTGCACTTCCCGCTGCCCGGCGACGACACCTTCCGACAGTTCCACGTGAACACGATCGTGGACGGCGAGCTCGTGAACGACACCTACGAGGACGGGACGCAGCAGCTGAAGTTCCTGGTCTTCGACTGCCTGGTGCTGGACGGGCAGCCGCTGATGCACCGCACGCTCGACAAGCGGCTGGCCTATTTCAAGGAGAAGGTGCTGCGGCCGTACAACGCCATGTACCGCAAGTTTCCGGAGGAGATCCCGCACCGCACGTTCACGGTGGAGGACAAGTCGACGCAGTTCAGCTACGGGATCGAGATGATGTTCCGCGAGATCATCCCCAAGGTCAAGAAGATCCACGGCAACGACGGGCTGATCTTCACGTGTCGGAGCACCCCGTACAAGATCGGCACGGACGAGCACATCCTGAAGTGGAAGCCGCCGGCGGAGAACACCATCGATTTTCGCATGAGGCTGGAGTTCCCGCTGCTCGAGCCGGACACCGACGACGAGGCCGAGGGGGTCCTGGAGCCGTACGCGGACTACGAGGCGATGCCGATCTTCCATCTGTTCGTGCTGCTGCGCGCCAACGAGTACCAGCCTTTCGGGGAGATGTTCGTCACGCCGGACGAGTGGGAGGCGATGAAGGCCCTGGGCCAGCCGCTGGATGATACGATCGTCGAATGCGCCAAGGATGATCAGGGCCGGTGGCGGTTCCATCGGCTGCGGGATGACAAGTCGGACGCGAACCACATCTCGACGGTGGAGAAGGTTCTGGAGAGTATCCAGGATCGGGTCACGGAGGAGGACCTCATCCGCATGGCGCCCGCAATCAAGACGGCGTGGAAGAAGCGGCAGGCGCTGCAGGAGGAGGAAGCGCGCAAACGACACCGACAAGCTCCTGGGGGCAATGGACCCCCGAACGGCCACAACGGGGTCAAGAGGAAGTTCGAGGAGTGATGGTCATTCTTGTGTTGTTCTTTTTCATCTATGATTCTGACTCTCCCGCGGTCGATGAGCTCCTTACTACTCATGACCTTGGCGGGGAAGGTTGGGCTGGCCGGTTGATTTTGGTTTGCGAGGCGTTAGGTGCTGGCGGGTGGTGTGTGTATGTTGTTGCATGCGTGCTGCTCAATTCCTTCGGGGTTTCATTTCTCAAGGCCCGAATGCTTTCTTACTAACTTATGTCGTGTTTCTTTTTTTTTCATTTCAAGTCTTCTTCTGTGTATACAAGAACAGCAACCGGCCTCAAATGTCGCATGTTGCACCCAGGGATAAAGCAAGCGAATGGATGTAAATGGTATAGACTCGCCCATCTCCCCTTCATCCTGTGGGCGGCCAGGGTACAAAGTAATGGAATGAGATATATTTACAAAGGAAGGGTTAAAACCGCCCGACCTCGAAGAAACAAGAAAGAAAGCCGCGCGTTTGTTTCATTCCACAATCGAAAAACAATTTCATGCTATCCGTCTGGTAGTCTTTGCATGTCGACATGCTACTCGCTGGATTCTGACCGGAAATCCTTTCCACAGAACAAACTGGGAGAGGGAGAGGGAGAGGGAGAGGGAGAGGGGAAAGAACTGGTAAGTTCTTTAGGTCGGGAACCCCCTCGGTCGATCTTGGTTGGAAATGACTTTCCCTGGTGTGTGTATGTGGGGGGGGAGGGCCGGAATAGATATGCTCTGTACTCTGTATAGTTCTGTGCAATTTTTTACATGTAGTTGTAGTGGTAGTGCTGTTTTATGAATCTGTTTATGTAGGTGCGGTGTTCTGGCCGGGTTACCTATTCCGGTAATCAAGTGTGTAGGATCCAGTCTAGAACCATCCCTTTCTTTCAGGTTTACCGCCCTGTCCTGCCTCGTGCAGGGTCTTTTTTTTTTTCTACTTCATTTTTTTTTGTTTAGGTTGTGGTGTGTGGTTGGGTGGGTGGAAGGATATCTGGGGAGAGGATGGGGGATGGGGGATGCAGCTAGGTAGGCAAGATCGACGACGGAAATGTACGATTAAGTAGAGTCCTCTCTCCCTCTTTTCCCCTTGCTATGCTGCGGTATGACATCAGTGGATATGAATTATGCATATGCACTGTACTGTACATGTACATGTACATGTAGCTGGCGGCGGCGGTGGTGGTGGTAGTGGTGGTGGAAGAGCTGCGAATAGATCGTTGTATGATGATGATTGAAGATGATTGAAGATGAAGGGGGAGATAACTAGAGTGTATGAGTGACATCAATGGCACTAATTGAAGGATGGCTATTCAACATCCAATACATTGGTTTTTTTTTTTTCTTTTTTTTCTTTTTCTTGTGGTTGAGGGCTTGCCTTCGGGGGCAGGGCGATGAAGGCCGATAGCAAAGAGAGGGTTTGACTAGAGCATGTGCTGCTGCTGCTGCTGCTGCTGCTGTTGCTGCTGGAGCTGTCGATCATGGCTGCATGGGATGATCCGCTTTGCTTGTTTTGTTTCTCGTTTTCTTTTTTTGTGTACGGTACTATCTCCAGAATGATGGGGGAGGGATGGAATGTGGGGGATGGATGGGGACTCGGGGAGGGAAAGGTAGGGTCTCTATGTTTGATGGATTCTACAGGGTGCCGTGCACTACAGTCCTGTACTGTACATGGTAGCATTAGGTGGGAGGGAGGGAAGGGAGTCTGGAATGAATCATGGATGACTCTGGACTACTGGAAAGGGACAATGCAGTTGCAGTTGCAGTCATTTCTGGGGTATGTTTACCAAGGGCTCAGTATACCACCAGACGGGGGGGTAAGGGGAGAGGGAGAGAGGATCGGCTTTTGGTGGCGTGAGAGGAGAAAATAGAAAATCAATTACTCAGTAAGAAGATGAAACCGGGGGCTGTCGCCACTCATTGAACACTGTGACTGTTGACTTCACGGATTCCTAGTGGAGTCTTTCTTTGTTACTGAGTATCGTTCTAGGAGTGCTGAATGAAGTGTATGTACAGTACATACTGTCCACATACTCCGTGAGTGGACTCGTAAGTCAACATATCTTTCCTCCAGGTCAATTCCATACTCGGTCCAGCTTCTGGCATCCATCATACCCTGGGGTACTACTCATCTTCGTATAATGGAGTCCTTCCCCTTGTTTCGCTTTCCCCACAAAATGCACACGTACTCTGTACGTTTCTCCATCCCATCCCATCCGCCCTGGCTGAATTCATCCTTACCCTCTCCATCCCTTGGCGACCCGTTTTTTTTTTTTTTTCTTCGATTCTTTAATTCCTTTGCTCTTCTCCTCCCCCGGAAGAAGCTCAGCTCTTCCCCGGAAGTCCTCCCGCCCTGTCCTGTCCTGTCCTGTCCTGTCTTGCCGTCCCGTCGTCGTGGCAAGCATGCAGGCTTCGAACCCACCCTTTAGACTAAGTCGCTGGGTGAGGCGTCCCCAGCCCTGAACCTAGTTAGGATTCTCGATTCGAGGACCAGGACCAGGAGTAATAAATAGTACAAAGGATCGAGCATGAGAAAAGATCCACCGTCCGTGTAGAGTCCACTTATTCGACTAATTCGCATTGGAATTCCATCTGTCGTTTTTTAAAACCCTCGAGCTACTTCCCATCCCCAACAGATTCACCCCCTACACTATTACTTCTTGAACGAATAGCTGTGCTTCCTTGTATACTGTTGACTGTACACTGCTGGCATCGAGTGGCTTGTTCGCCCTGCATTCTGTCGTCCTCCTTACCCTTCTTTCATTGGGTCATTGTTCTCTGTCAATGAGGATTTAAAAAGCATCTCCCCCTACCCTACCTGTTCCACTCAATACCTTCCGCTTAACCAGACACTGCTCGGAACACGACTTACTACAACTACAACTACAACTACTACTCTTACTGTTACTGCAACTGTTAACTATCTTAATTCAACTTCTGATCCACTTAACGCGGTAAGCATTTTACTGACCTTCCATTGACATGACTGCGCCCCGGGAATCCATTTTGCCTCGGCGAATTTCGGAGTTCCAGCATGTATACCCCCGGAGCTTCCCTCTCGGCCCTACGGGTCCTCGTCTGCCGAATTGTCACGACGAGTTGCCATGTGCCCGCCTGCCATCTGATATTACTTATATTTACCTTGACCCACGTCTTTTAGATACCGTTCTTGCTAACTCTTCAATCGCAGTGCTATCACTCTAGCAACTTACTTACAACCTCCGCCTCCAGGAAAAACCTATCTCGACTCAGAAACCCCCCCCCCCCCCCCCCGAGAATCACACATCTACAACCCCCGAACTACAACCCCGTTACAACCATAGCAACACCACCACCGAAGAAAAGCATAATAAACGGCAAAATGGCCAACACGTCCCCGCAACGTCATCGCCCTACTCTCATCACCCCCTCCTGTTCCTCCACATTCCCACAGGACATCTCCGCCGCCATCCTCTCCGCCGCCAACCACATCCCCAAGTCCATCGCCGTCGAGTCCGCAGCCCGCACGGCCAACGCTGCCGGGCCAGCAACCCCAACGACGAGTACAGGGCTCCTGGAGGTGCCCATGCCGCCGCCTCCACCCCCTCCGTCGCCGGTCGAGACGAGAGCGCTATGGAGCCGGTGATTGTTAGAAGAGAAGCAGTGGGCAATCGCTGTGTCTTCCCTCTCGCCCTATTGCAAGAACTCGGTTTAAGCTTGGTGCTGAACCTTCTACTTGGACCCAGCTACAATATCCATGGGGGGAGGGCAGGGGGAGTTACGTTCCAACCGTGCGGACTTCCTTAGTGTCTTTTTTTTTTTTGTGTGCTTAACATTGGGTTGCGTGTTGGCTTTTCGGTTGATTTCCTGGTGTCGGTGGGTCAAAATTCCTTACCTCTTTTCATTGCTTTCGGAGTGGTTTTGCTACTGGTCGTGGGGGAGTTTTTTTTCTTTGTCTTCAGTATGGAGTGGGGTATTATCTTTTCTACTTTTGATAGCCTGGTTCATTTCTGTTGCCTTATCGTCAACTGGGATGGAGATGGTGTGTATATTATGGGGTTGGGGGCAGCGGGGCGGTGATAGCTTTGGATAGTAATCATGTCAATGGAATGAGATTGATTGACCAAACCAAGTTTGATGCAGCGGACTTGAGTCAGAGTGTTCTTGCTACTGTGCACGGCTGCTCGGGATTGATCGACCTTTGGGGAAAGTAGATCAGAGCCTGTTACATCTATGTGTATGTTGTTGTTGGTGTTTGTTTTGTCTTCACGGGGGCGAGCGAACAGACAATAATCTTGAATATCCGATGATATAGGATGAGATCACATTTCGTCATTTGTTAAGGCAAATAAATCATTTCCATTCTAATCCATCCCTCTCAAAGCAAACGTGCATGCCATCCAATCATGAGGATCAACCCTGATGGTGAGCGCGTTGCAGATCCCCGGACTCCCGGTCACATGCAGAGTGGGAAGTGCGCATACACATCTATATTATACGTTGTGAGTACCTGCAGCCCGAGACCCCATGACGCCAAGGGTTCATCATTGCCGGCATGGCAGAAGACCGACCTCGGTACAGTACATCCGTACATGGTATCGTGATGGTAGCTCCAGGGGTCTAGCTTCTACGCGGTTGCGGTAGTTCTCGTCTGCTGCAGGACGCTAGCTACCTTAGCTGGAACTTAGTAGGGGAGCGTGCATGCAAAACCACCGAGCCCATCCCGGATTCCGATTCTCTTACTCATACTCGTTTCTGTTCGGCGTTCAGGATTTGTGCTGGCGAGCCTCGGTAGGGCCGAGTGAGCCCGCCGGGCAGTGTGGTGGAAATAGTACTCGTGACTATTAAAGCTTGTTTCCCCTTTGAGAGATGGACCTCTCACGTGACCCCATCGAAGAGGATCAAGCGTCCTGACCAGGAGATGCTGTACAGTCAATCAAAGAGCATGCATGGATCAAGGCTGCAGCTGCTGAGTATCTCGACGAGCCTGTGAGAGTAACTCTTCCGGGTCAAGGTACTGGTCGTGACTTGGACCCCGCGTGGGATCCTCACCCGCAACCTCCGGCTGTCCCTCCACGCCTCCCATCTCAATATCATGATCATTGCCATCATCGTCGTCATCGCTCTCCACCTCCCTCTCAACATCCTCACCCAGCCGGGTGTACAGCGCCTCCAGCTCCGCCATCGCAGCCGCATCACCCTGCAACGCCAGCTCATTCAAGCGCTGGATTTCCGCCAGCTGTTCGTCGGTGCGCGCCCAGCCGAGCGCCCGCCCGCCCAGCGACGATGCATGGTCCGACTGGATCCGTTTGGTGCTGAAGACGGTCCGCACCGTGTCCGTCTCCCCCTTGCTCCGCTTCAGACTGGCCAAACGTTCGAGGAACCGCATTTGGTTGCTTGCGGGGTGGTTGGGGGCACGGATGATCCCGGTCGTTGATACGGTGGGTGCCAAGCCGGCCGGGGGATGGTCAGACCGTCCTGGAGGGCTAGGGTCTAGCCCTTCATCCGATCCCGGTGTTGCTGATGCTGTTGCTGCTGCTGCCGCCGTCGCTACCGCTGAGGATTGGCTAGCGGAGATGAGGTTGGCTTTGCGACCTATAATCTTGATGCTGGGGGCGGCGAGGAGGTCGTAGTTGTGACCGTGACGGAGAGGAGCGTCGGAGTGATCTGTGCGGTGGGTACTGTACGGGTCGTGAGGTGCAGTCTCCCCTGGTCGTTCCTCTGCTCCTCCTCTCCTGCCTTCGTCTGGACGAGCAAAGATCAGGTCCGTGCCAAGTTGGTCGGCCCAGGTGCCGCTGAAGATTTGGTTCTGGTATGATATTATGGGATTTGGGGTGTGAAGCCCAAGGATCTGTAGGCCGTCGGATGGGGACTCGACATGAGTGAAGTCAGCGGCATCGGGCTCGTCGGAGATGTTGGTGGCTGTTGCTGATGAGGCGGCAGTCGCGGAAGGTTGTCGACGGCGAGGCGGTCGAAGTGGGCCGTGAAGAGAAGTGAGGTCAAGGGTGAGGTAGACGGTCTAGATGGGGGGGATCGGTGTTAGAAGGTGAATAAAAGACGAAGAAAGATCCGAAGGAGGAGGGAGGGATGCCAAGGCGGACCTCAGTTTCGGTGGGATGATATTCATATTCATAGTCGGAGTCGATGTCGGAATCGGGATGGGGCTGGTCCACTAACATGGCCGGATCGACCGGGATGGGCGGCGGAAGCGACATGGTGTGGTTGTTCTATAGTATGGGTCAATATGTTCCCTGAAGAACCGTGAGTTGAAGAGTCTATCCATCAACCATCATCCATCAACATGAATCGGTTTAAGACCGGCATATCAAGGGCGGTGAGCCCGGAATTGATCAATCGGCCATCGTGGGCGGCTGCCCGATTGGGATAAAGATCTATGGTTCTGTAAGAGTAACTCAAACTTATCGACGGTGTAGTCATCCTCCTGCTCCTCCTCATCACCGGCTCTTCTTCTCGTCACCAACTACTCCCCGTACACTCTCTCATCCGCATCCCTCACCGCATGATCCAGCTGATCATCCAACACGGACTTTCTTAAGTCTAACTGGTTTCAGCCTTAACTCATCGGTTGACGAATGACTGCTGCATTGCATCATTCATTCCCTTGGCTCTGCTTTGGGCCTTAGGCTTGTTTCTGTTGTCTCTCTCGCTCTTGCTCTCGCTCGACGTATCGCTCCATCATCCCCACTCCCATCAGTATCATTGTTGATCATCATGGCTTCCTATCACCACCACCATCGTCATCAAGACAGCAGTAAAAGCAGTAAGTGGATCCCCGTTCCGTTCATGTGTCTACAATGTGTGTTGTCTCTCCCGATTCATTGTCACCGGCTCACCGCGGAACGGGCATTCCTCTCTCCACCTGCATCCGTCCGTCTCCAGTTCCCATCCACTCCCCCTCCATTATGATCTAATCATTTGTCCCTCTTTCCCATCCTTCCATTCGTCCCTGAGTCACCGATGCCCTGTTATTCTCAGCCCTAAACCATCCCATATATGGCGATCCTCTTCATATCCGGATGTCCCCGGATGCGCCGCCCTGGCTCTGCCCTACCCGGCAAGCTCCATGACCAACGAAGAGCCCTGACTCCATTCCTCAATTGCTGTTCTCGACCTACGGACCTGGTCCGGCTGACGGATCATGGCCGCGTTTCGCTCGGCTTCTTATAGTGTCTCCCCTGCTGCCCTGGCGCCCAGCTCGGGGCCTGGTTACTCGGTCTGATTACTGTTTTTCTTCCTCTACCCTCCTCTGCTTATTATTCTTACTCTCCTCCTCGTCGCTGCTCTGTGCCTCCTCCCCTCTCAGGACTCATGATCTTTCGTCCCCTGCCAACCCTCTCGATGCGTTCGCATTGATCGCTGAGCCCGATCCATCGTCGACCACGTCTGCTACTTACTCGAACGGGCAACTGGTCACCCACCCTTCGTCGGCCACAGCCCACCGTGATCTCGAGAATCAAGTTCGCGATCAAGACAAGGTCAGGTCGGTAGCCTTATCGGCCCAAACGCATTCGCAACCCGCCGACGCAGCTGTCTCTGTGAGTGTCGGTCAACAGATGGTGCGCGCAACGACCGCAGCGATTCTCACTCTATCCTCACTGATTGCCTATGTCGTGATCAACAGTGTCGCTCGCGCTGTTAATCCGTCGGCCTTCATTTGGTACGAGGAGGATCAGGACGAACGTCGCTGGATTTCGTCATCTCCATCCTGGCTAGATCGGAAAGCCTGCCGCTGGTTCGGCCTATGTGGGACCGCCCACTTTCGCTTGGTGCGCCCCCGCTTCGGCCACCGCAAGGCCGTCGCGGCGGCTGGCCAGGGGTCCAACGAAGACTTCTCCGCCTGGCGTGCCGCCCAATTCAATGACTCCGCCCATCCCGAGGCCGCTTGGGATGAGGCAGAACGCTCCCGCCGCGAGATCCCGGACTATGTCTTCCAGTATGCGCCGTTGGTCCATTTGTTCTCCGATGAGCAATTTTGGCCCAGCGACATTGCCGAACACCTGTACCATATCACGCCGATGCTCAATTACACCCCCGTCCAATCGTACTGGGATCATCCCACTTTACATGACCTGGATCAATTGAACCAGTGGCAGGATGGGCACAATGTGTTTCTCACCAGCAACGACAATGTCGAGCATCGACCTTCGTGGATGGAAGGCGACAAGAATATCCCTGACGATCCTGATAGTGATTTGGAAAAGTCTTGGCCTGACTGGGATGCGCGGGTCGATGGGCCCATCCCGAATGACACACCTGGCGACCGAGCGCAGTGGTACGATTCAGCCCATGCCCTCCGCGAAGGAGATAACTTGGATGGCGGCGACAACGATGCTGAGTGGTCGCCTGAAAGACTCGGCTACTTGCGCCCAGAGGATCTACAACACGATGAAGGTTTGCGGGACGAGTTGCGCAAACGGTTTGGCGGTGAGCCCATCCATGTTGAGACTACAGGCGGGCGCAGCAATGCGCCAGCCATCCTGCTGGTGATGGACAAAGGCAACGGCATTGTGGATGCCTTCTGGTTCTTCTTCTACAGCTTCAACCTCGGCAACGTGGTGTTGAACGTACGATTCGGCAACCATGTTGGGGACTGGGAACACTGTCTTGTGCGCTTCCATAATGGCCGGCCCAAGGCCCTCTTTTTCAGCGCACACTCAGCGGGAGAAGCATACAGCTACGAAGCCGTCGAGAAGATCGGCCAGCGGGTAAGTCATGATAAACCGACACTGCTCCATGCGGCCCCGGTTCGCTAGTCTCTCCCACTAACCGTGAACCAGCCCGTCATATATTCCGCACTTGGCACCCACGCTATGTATGCAACTCCTGGTGTGCACGCCTACATCCTGCCTTGGGGCTTGCTGCACGATCAAACCAATCGCGGTCCATTGTGGGACCCACTCTTGAACGTGCACACATACACGTATGACTTCCCCAGCGACATGCTCCGGGCCTCAACTGTCAGCCCCTCAGCGCCTATTGAGTGGTTCTACTTCAATGGGCACTGGGGCGACAAGTTCTACCCGTTGGGCGATGAGCGCCAGTACCGATTTGCGGGTCAGTATCATTATGTGAACGGGCCTTTAGGCCCGCGCTTCAAGCACCTGAATCGGCACAAGGTCTGTCAGCAATCTGACGACAGTCCTTGCGTGATCAAGAATTACATCGGTGAACAGGCTCGCCCTCGCCGCTGGGCAAGTGCAGGTGTCGACAACCCGACTGAGCATCCACGTAATTAGTGGTTGGTGTCGGCTGTCTCTTTCTACTGTTCGTTCTTATAATTATTTCTGCTAACTGCCATTTTGGTGGGATTATATACCCCTGCATGTTTTGACCTGCATGATTGCATTGATGACTGGCGTTCTGTTCGAGTCTGGGCTGGAAACCAACGAACCACGAGGCGATGATAGACATGAAAATCACGGAGTACGTACCACTAACCATTTACCTACATGATATACATCGTTGTGTTTGTCCAGGCCGGGGATCATAGGCAGTGGGTTCACGGCCTGATCGTCGTTATTATCTTTTATGTGTATCTCGGTCATTTAGTATATATTGATGTTGACTGGATGGTTCTGGTGATGAATAGAAACATATTCTGCAACTCTATCTCTCAATCAAGGACATCATGCTAAACACGTCAAACATGCCCAAGTTGATGTATGCCGGGGGGGTTGACCTGATCTCTGAACTTTAGCGATCAGCACAACTGGCAAGTTTGGCGGTCTTTCTTTTACTCTGCTTGTTCAGGGCTACCTAGTACCAACTTGAGCATAAACAGCCAGTTGGTCAGTCCCCATAGTCTCGGAAATCCACGATTCAATGTCCAATGACTCCACCGGGTTAAGCTAGATTCCTCCAATGATCAAGCCCCCTAAGTAGCAGGAGGGGAGCGGAGGCGGCAGGGAGTCCAGGAGCCTTTGATTGGGCCCCTGGAAACTATAGAGCAACGCGCACACACCGCGGCGGACTACCTTAGAAGTGGAGTGAGTATCCCAGAAATTACCTCAGAATATCCAGTCCAGAGATAGTGAGGGTTGTTGCGAAGGATCAAACAGAATCCCAGCCCCGTAAGCTACAGCGTGCTGCTATATATGTCTCAATTGGATCAAGGAGGTCAAGCAGGTCAAATGAAGATTCTTGTTATGGAAGATTACTCGCTACAATCATATAAGACGGGAAAAGTGCAAGGCAAGCTAAGTATGGGCAGGCAGGGAGGGGTAATACCATGACGCAAAGGGAAAAAAAAAATAAAACTCATCGCAGGCACTGCAAGGTTGCGAAAAGACGGAAGGGAACGATCAACAACCACCCAGGTTTCGTCCAGCAACACGAAGGGAATGGGTTCTAAGGGATCCCCGGATTAAGATGAAGAGTAGAAACAGCGCTGGAGTCAAATGAGTAGCAGCATGGAAAGCAGTAGGTCGCCTCATATTCCGAGGACGATCCTTCCCATATGGGAATGAGATTTGAACGTTGACCATGGGTCAGGAGATAAAGAGAGAAGCCAGAAGGAACGACTGGACCAGAAAGAACATCATCTAGACAGTCGACTGGCCGTATCGAAACAGCCCAACCGTAAAACAACAACGCCGGATACACACACCACACACACACACACACACACACACACACACACACAAGGTGAAAAAAAAGGCTGAAAGGGTTCTCAAACGATGTAAGCAAGACGGGGTAATGGAAAAGCTGCAAAACACCCACCCAAAGAACAGAACGCCAAATGGAATCGCAATCCATGAACCAGACCAAAGAATGATGAAAACAACAAGCATTACCATGTCCGTCAGACTCCCCCAAACTCTCAAACTCCGCATCCTAGGAAAAAGCCGAACCGGTGGGTTGAACCCTTCTCGGTTCGGACAAGCCGGTTGCCCGATGAAGGTAATCTAGATATATCACTCAATAAAATTAAACCCAGCCCCTGCTGAAGAGATCAACGGTCAATTCACGCCCTCGTAGATCGCTTCCGAAGACCGAATTCAGCTTCCTGAAGTTCGCGGATCAGACGAAGACTCTCAGCATCCGGCTCGTCGTCAGCAGCACGCTTCGTGGGTCTGTTGGATTGGCCCGGGGAAACTGAGGCTGCAGTAGAACGCTCGCCTTTCTTCTCATCCATCGGCCAGAAGCTCTTCTTCGCATTGTGTGATGAAGAGGGCCGTGATGCTGATTTCTTGGGCCCCGAAGATGGGCCGGGAGTAGGCCTACGTACACCGGTGCTTGACGCGCCGAAGGATGAACGACGTGCGCTGGGCGTGTGCGTCGTCGACTTGCTCGTTTTGATCACATGAACTTCAGGAATATACCGGTCGACCTGGCGAGGCTGGCGGGAAGAGTGTCGCGAGCTAGACGTGGGCGTATGGAGAATCACAACATGCTCTCCTTCACCATCTACATAATCGTTGGGAACGTCGGTATCGTCCGCCAACGAGGTCGGTGGCGAGACGAGCGTAGCTGTGGGCTTAGACGCAAGAGCAGAATTGGCCTCGTTTGTCACCACGGTGTCGGACTGAAAGGCAGGCGGTGATGCGTATGAGGTCTGTCCGAGCTGGGCCTCCTTGTCCGTTGCCGCTTGTTGTGGAGAATCTTGGTCTTCATGAGGGAGGTCGGCATATGGATCATGGAGGTCCAGATCCTTAGAAGCATGACCGACATGGTCTACATCCAGCATAGCGTGATCTCGACTACCAAAATGAAGCGGCCGAGACACAGGAGAAGTACTTTCTTGTTTCATCCGTTTGCTGACACCGGCGCCGATTCCTTCTTCATTGGGACGTGGCCGTTTCACGGAGGCCGCGGCTCGTGGCTTTGCTCGTTCTTGAGCTTTGATTGGATCGATTCTTCCATACTCATCATGGATACACCGGCGCTATGATCAATTAGCATATGTATATCACGAGATACAGAACGGCATAACGAACCTTGCTCTTCCGACAGTCGTCACAGGCCTTGCTCCGACCTTTCTTACCGGTGTTCTGCCCTTCGGGGCTGAGTTCATTGAGCCTGTTGGTCGATGCATGTGGGGTGCCCACAGTGATCAATGACGCTTCAAAGCGATCCATGTTCCTACTGACGCCATTGTCCTGAAGACCTGCTTCCGATGCAATGGCCGCCAATGAGTTCAGAGCAGACGCTGCATCATGCGCCGGCGAATGGACCCCGGTACCAAAAGCACCCATGGCCGTCTGTTTGGATGATAGGCTATCATTCTGTTCGTCCTTGTGATGGCAGCGGATTCTGCGTTTGCGACAAGCATCACATGCAACCCGTTTGGGACCGAGCCCCGAGCCCCGAGGTGCTGTTCGAGGCTTAGGCACGGTCTCCTCTTTGATACCTGCATTGGCGCTGGAAAGACTCGGAGAAATATGGGAATCCGTGACCGAAGGCACACTGGAGCTGCTCTTGTTGCTCGATTGAATCGGCAGATCCTTAAGTGGCTCCGGGAGTCGCTGCACAGCCTGTCGCTCGGCATAGGTACGTTGGCTGTCCACGTTGCGCTCTGAGCGACGACTAGGTCGTCCAGCTGGCTTTTTCTCCACAAGGGTGAGTTTTGGGTTGCTCTCGATCACGCCGGGGCGAGTCCACTGAGGTGCTTTCTCGTTTCCACGCTTCCATGCGACCCATATCCCAAACTGCTTAACAACGTCGACTGGATCGCCTGGCGTCTTGGGTATTGATCGTTTGACTGCATTCCTAGCATCCACCGTTACCCCTTCCACAAGGTAGGACCCAGCGATCAAGGCGGTACGCAGAAGGTATTTTGCAAGATCTGGCAGACCTTCCAACTCTGCTTGTGAATAGAAGCGTGAGTTATGATAGGGAGAGCCTGGCGGGGCGGTGTTCGTCCTGTCTCCGAATTCATAGTATATGGGATAGTCTCGATGAAAGCGATAATTTTCGTCCTGTGCAAATGCGTCGAGAACGCCCTGGGGAACCGGGTCTTCCTCGAGGTACTTCAACGCGGTATACCACTGAATTTTCTGGAAGAACGGGTACCGGAATTTCCTTGGTACCTTGGTGTCCTTCTCAATATTTGCAATCTTGATCTGCATCCCATAATTCAGCCTTGTCAGGAAATTGCCCCCAATGACCAGACTATTCTCCGGAGTCCAGACAGCATGGATCCAGCCAGAGGGGATCAACATTGTGTCGCCTTCGACAAGGTCTACGCGGTAGCATTCCTTGGTTTGGTCACCGAGGAAGGTGGTTTCCTGTGCGGGCGAATTGCACCATTCCTCATATTTCTTCAAATGCCTGTCCGTAGGCGGGATGAAGAAAAAGGTCTTCTTGCCTTTCAGAATATGATAGTAGACGGACGACCCCCCAAAGTCAATATGAAAGTCGGTGTAACAGTCGGCCACTGACATCAAGCAGTAAAACTGTACTTTTGGGTAGTCTCCCACTGCTTGGAGTTCTTGGGGCCAGACTGAATCTTGCAGGTCCAGATCACGAACCACCTTTGGTCGTCGGATGAGCCTGCCCAATGGACTCTGGGACACTTCTAAGCTGATGACATTTCGCACTACCTTGTCACCTGTGCTCTCATAGTAATCAGCCCATTTTTCCATGGTCCATCTCTTGTCCTCTCCTTGTTGAGATTTGACATCGATGACTTCGACCCTCTCTTCGGGTCCGTAGAGCTCGGCCACCTGTCTGACCGTCAAGCCTTGGGGTATCACCATGTCCAGTTGATCCTGGCCGCAGTCTAACACCTGCTCAAAGCTTTGCTCGCCCGCATCGAGATGGTCTAAGAGTTCATCAAACATCTCTTGCGTGGGCGCTTCCTGCGCTAGTGCGTCCAAGTCCGAAGGAAGCGTTGGGGCCGGGTTTTGAGTATTCCACTCGGCAGGAATGACTATCGGTTCTGTCATGCCACTGCCTCTTTCGAAGTACTCGGCCGTGATGAGCTCCGGGCGCATGCGGGGGAAATTCTCAGGGAGGAACCGAATCTTGCCTTGGCGAATAGGTTCAATGTAATGATGTTCTAGTGAATCTGTTGCAGCTTTGACAAGCCCTTGGTTCAGACCAGCATAGTCGATTGCGGTACGGGCGCGAGATGACTTGCGAACAAATGTCGTCCGTCCATGCAAGGGCCCACAGGCGCGGCAGATGAACTTATCCACAGTCCGCACCTCTCTATCATTCTTGAAACCAGCGCAGACGATATGAAACCAGCGCTTGCAGCCATCACAACTGATCCAAGTCACATCACCTTGCTCACCAGTGTCGATTGGTATGCGAACGAGATTACAAGCAGCACAGCTGGCCTGACCGGACTCCTCCGACTCTGTGTCGTCTTCCGTCTTGGGAGGCAGGTCCGCCGGCATCGATCCTGCATGTGGAGCGCGCATAACATCGGCAGCCTGAACATTGGATTGTGTGCCGCTGGAAATGTGTTTGTTTGCTGAACCCCAGTGATCGTCCTCCGCACCCTCTTCATCCTGCCAGAGTATCGGGGGAAGAGTTGAAGAACTGGTGTTAGGCCGCAAGCCCTGTATTGTTGGTCGCGCAATGGCTGCTGATCCATCAGACTGTGACCTCATTCGAGATGGTGGGAGGCCGTTATTGCTTGAAATAGTGTGGGTAAGGTTTTCGGTGTGAGCGGCCCATGATCCCACCGCGGACCCAATCCTATCGAAACGCCGGGTTTCACTTCCGGCGTAAAGAGCGTGCTCATCTATGCTGACTCGTTTGGCAGGCTGAATGGTAGGCTGGAAGTTGGTGGGTCGGGCAAAGTTCAATAGAAGCTCTGCATCCGTCTTCATGCTATCAAGCACCGCGGAAGAATTTGCATCGGGCACGGGCAGCGACCGGTGGGAATGGAACGGCGATTGATCTTTTTCGGAGCGCGGTCGCTTGGCGGGACGTTCGGAGGAATCGATGGGTTCGGAAGGGAAAAGCGACAATGCGGGTGTCGAGTTCTGAGAAGGGGGACGGTAGGAGAGAGGTGCGAAGGTAGGGCTGGTGGCTAAAGCGATGGTCGCGAGTGCGTCGATGGTCGAACTCGATCTGCCATGACTCGGTCGATGAGCAGCGGAATGATCTGTAGCATGATAACCGTTATGACTCGGGGGGTATGGGTCACGATCGGAGGCAGCCACCCTGGCGATGCTGCGGTCAATCCATGAGGCTCGGATGTCGGAGGTTGAACAGGGTGAAATCGGCTCGACGGCGCGTCGCGGAGGTGAGGGAGTGCGGTAGCGCGGTGGTCGAGTCCCGAGATGGGTAGAAAAGGATGTTGCACTAAGCATAATGAGGCCTGATGATGGAAAATCGAGCGGGAAAGGAGCGAGAAGAGGCCCGGAGGAGAAAAGAGGTGCTTGCGGCAGACGGGTGCAGAGCGGGGATATTTGACCACACGGGCTAAAGACGGGCCACCGCAGGCAAAGAGAAAGTCATTCCTGGCAGAATGGGAAGCGCACGAGGAATAATGAGATGGTATAGAAGTCCGAAAGGGAAGGTTGACGGAGGAGAGGTGGTGGGGGAGACGGGGGAGAGAGGAAGTCGACGGAGCAGAGTCGCACGGCGGAGGTTGAGGGGGGAAGTTGAGCGAGCCTCTGCCGACGGGCGGGAGAGAGAGCGCGCGCGCAAGAAAGCAGACGACGGAAGAGAGCTGCACTACAGTAAGGTGCGGAGCGGAGATAGAAAACGGCAAATTCGAGGAAAAGAAGATCAAGGAAATTTAGCGATTGAGAAGTTGCGCCTCAAGATAAGGCCAGAGAAGGAGGAGGGAGGGGGAGGGGTTTGACAAGGGACGATGGGCGGCGATGGAGGCCGAGAGGAGAGGGGAGGGGAGGAGGAGAGGAGGAGGAGGAGGAGGAGGAGGGAGTCGCCGGACGGAGGACGACGAGGCGCCCGGCGCAGAGACAGAGGGAGAGAAAGAGAGAGTCCTCGGCTATCTGCCTCAGGCAGCTATAATACCTAAAAAAGTATTGCTGTTGTTCTCCGTGGTAGTAATCGTTTGCGGCACCAGCCCCCCCCTCTCCCCCTCATGCATGACTGTAGAGTACTCGAACGCCATTCTAAATGATTATATCCTGATTCTGAAGCTAAACAAAGATCTACTGCATCTTTTCTACTGTTACGAGAGCTGGAGGAAGTTGATTCATCCTCACTTCTTGATCAAAGTGAGGCTCCTCCTCCGAGGCCACTAAACCAGATCAGGCAAGGCAGCCCAGTCTCCCGAACCTCGTGCTCGTCGCGGATATTGCTTCCCTCTCTCTTGCTCCTCTCTTGCCTGCTTCTCCTCTCCTCCTTCTCATATAACTTCCTCCAGACCCCCGTTGGGTATCTGACTCGACCTTGATCCCTTCTTTCACGTCTCTCTACAGCATCTACTGTCCCGCCCGAGAATGAGCCGAAAGCTCGCCCCCGAAGCCAATCGGTAGGTTCTGTTCGAACAATTCTACCCCTCCCCTTCTGGTAGCCCGCCATAGTCTCCCGCTGCGCTCTTGGGCTTCAGGATGCTTGGCCATGGGTTCTTATCTCTATCAGAAGGTTGGATATGATTGAAAGCATGACTAACGGGCCTCCAGGATTCTCTTTGTCAAGAACCTCAAGTATGCCTTTCCTCGCACTCGGAATCTTTTGAACCCTCCTGTCGATCGTCGCATCGCCATTAAAACGGATACATTCAGTGACACATGATCTCGTCGATCACGACAGGCATGCTAACGATTCGGGTTTTGTCTAGCTACAACGTAACAGCGGAGCAACTCTTCGACCTCTTTGGCAAATTCGGTCCTATCCGGTAGGCGGCTCCGTGACTCAAGCGCCATCGTCCACATTATCGTCAACTCCGCAACTAACGCTGTCTCCGGCAGACAAATACGTCAGGGAATTGCAAACAACTCCAAGGGCACTGCCTTTGTGGTATACGAGGACGTTCACGACGCCAAACAGGCATGCGATAAGCTCAATGGATTCAATTTCCAGAACAGATATCTCGTTGGTATGTTATCTCCATGCGGGGGAGACTGACTCTGAACGGGCATCGGATGAGGAGAATTGCGCGGCTGACCTTTGCTGCTCCGACTTCTAGTCCTATACCATCAGCCCGAAAAAATGCTTAAATCGAAAGAGGACCTGGCGGAAAGGCAAGAGAATTTGGAACGTCTCAAACAGCAGCATGGTATAGAATGACGTGATGATATGCTTTTTTTATCGCTTTCTCCGCATGCCCTTTGCCGGCATCTGGTTGCGTATTCACATGGGTTGGTTGTGGGGTTTTCGGCGTTTATTGTTCTCCTCTGGGTTTGATGATGGCTCTTATTCATTCATGGGTCTGAAAGGGTTGCCGGCGGGTAGAATGAGACTCGGGCTTGGCTGAAGTCCGGAGTAGAAAGTGGTACAGAATGGGTTATTTCAGGGCTGGGATCGATTCCGATGCACCGGTTAGTCACTGCTATCAATATAATCATTTCGATCGCCGGCCACTTGCGGCTGTTGCGGCAAACCTATGGAATGCGGCGTGGAGACGTCATTGTCATGTGTGAAGGTTGTAGAAATAATACTACTGCACTGTATCTACTGGGGACGATTGGATTGGTAGAGGTTTGTGCAGCTGAGGCCCTGAGGCCCTGGGGCCCCAGAATGCTTACTTAGTCCATGTCTCCACGATCGCCCACCGACTGCATCATACGTTGCCAGTGGATCAGCCCGGTGAAGATCATGTAGTTGTATGCCTAGTGGTCCCTGCTCCCCCCTGAGCGGCCTGCGCAAGGCTAGCCAACTAGTGCCATAGCTTATATTCTTGCCATTTTCGCCTCAACTCTAGCCATTCTTGACTTATAGGCAATGAAGTATCCACATTCGAGGGGTGGTTGCGCTGACATCGTGCAATTATAGCTAAGGATTCCATATCGTGGTCTATACACACTGTAGTTACAGTCAGTCTGAAGCACTGACTCGTGCCATACATATGTACAAGAGTGTACAGTACGTGGGAATTAGGGCCTCGGGGATGGTGTCATCACAAATCATATTTCAAGAGAAAATGTCAAGTCAATGCAAGCTCGGAGTCAGAAATTTTTTGAAATACAAAAATGCAAAGATAGCCACTTGACCCAGTCTCTAATTGCTTATAGACCATCATGGCTGTTTGAACACCTCGTAACGAGCGGACAGCTGTGTATAGTACTCGCAGGAGACCCCAAGCCCCAACTATGTAAGTTAGTGGACTAACCTAGCGCTAAAGCGGTGGCTGCCGCTGAAGCTGCCTGAAATCTCAGACATCGAGATTTTCCCCTTCGGTTCTAGACTCATCCCGTGTGCCGGCCCCACCGCCGCGACCGCCCTCCAAAGATTTTCTTTTCCGCTTGCCCAGGAAGCCCATGAAGATTGAAACCTCAACCACCAACCTTCCCTCCACCACCTTCTCTCCAGCATCTCGACCTGCACCGCGGCAGTGATCCTTTGCGTGAGCCTGCTTTCTTTTCGAAATCTCGACATCTTCCGTCCTTTCCAAATCTTCCCCATCTATCATCATGGCTGATACCTCTGCTGGTAAGAAAGAACCTGTCCTCACCCCCCCCCCCCCCGGAAGCCATTATCGAAGAAAAAAATTTCAGTTATACTGACGATAATCTCTCCTGCGTTCAGCCTGGCCCTTGGCCGACGAGAGCCTGACCCAGAGCCTTCTGGACCTTGTCCAGCAGGCCTCCCACTACCGTCAGCTCAAGAAGGGAGCCAACGAGGGTAAGCATATTCCCTCTTCTTCAACCGCGCCTACATCTTTCCCTTCAACTTTCTTCAACCTCGCCTAACCATTCCCCATCACCACAGCCACCAAGACCCTCAACCGCGGTACCGCCGAACTGGTTATCCTCGCCGCCGACACCTCCCCCCTCGCCATCGTCATGCACATCCCCCTCCTGGCAGAGGACAAGAACTGCGTCTACGTCTTCGTCCCCAGCAAGCTCGCACTCGGCCGTGCCTGTGGTGTCTCCCGCCCCGTCATCGCCGCCAGCATCACCACCAACGAGGCCAGTGACCTGATGGGCCAGATCCGCACCCTCAAGGACAAGGTCGAGAGACTTATGCTGTAAACGAGCGGAAGTCTTCTCTCTCTCTCTCTCTCTCTCTCTCTCTCTCTCTCTCTGTGAGTGTGTGTGTGTGTGTGTGGTGGCTGGTGATAGGCCGGGTAATATGATGAAAACATCGTCCATTCCAGCCTTGGTGTCCCAGCCGGGATCGATTTTCATGTCCCCCCCTTCGGTATGCGTGCAGGAGCTGGTAGCTTTTTTGGGAGGGGGGGTGGACTGGTTGGGACTGGTTGAGATGGGAGTTTCACTAGTGGATTGGGGACTGGGATTTGCAATTTTTCTTTCTCGGTGCCGTCATTCAAGACTACAGAGGATTCTTTTATTCTGTAATTATGCTCGCTGAATACGTTTCGAGTGGAAACCATGCAACCCCCCCCCCCCCGGCTTTTTGCTTGGGTTTAGACAGTTTATTGGCTTAAATGTCGAATCCCACGATGCTCACTTGGCTTTGTGACAAGATGTGTTGATTCTTCCTGTGTAGAGAATTGTAGTATTTTGTTCTAAAGCTGGGTTTCCAAACCGGCACAGGCGTAATCCATCAGCTTGCTACGTATGCAGTTTCTTACTATAATGCATCTGTATTGAAGCGTCCCCTGACCCCTTCACTCCAGGAATCGTTCTCATTCTTGAATTCGCTCCTAGTCGAATGAGCTTTAATCCATATATAGATCACGGTAAGATGATGTACAGATACGAAGTCTCCGTAAAGAGACAAGAAAAAATTTGCAGGGAAAATCCAGAACAATGAGATACGAGTCCATCCACCACTCTATCGCAAACCCCACCTTTAAACACAGAACAAGAGCAGGCTCCATGGGAATCATGCGGTGCATCAATATGTACCGATACAGAAAGGAACAAAGTCACAACCAGACAGCCTCCAAAAAATACAGCCGTCATGAAAAGAACGTCACAAAAACAGATCAAGGCTCATTAAGGGTTACTTTTTTGTGTCAATCCGGCCGGGGTATGGTACTGAGGAAAGCAGAAATATCAGACAAGCAATAAACATCTCGCAGTATGCAGTATGGGCCATGACTCCGACAACCATTCAATCATCATGCACAAATCAGATGCACGGAAGAAACTGGTGGAGTGTTAGTACATATCCAGGTTTGGACCGGGTTAAGCAAACTCACGTTCATCACAATCAGCATTGGAATGTCGAATACGTCGCGCTTCACTGTCCAGCAGTAGGCGCAGTCAACCTTGCCATCCTTGAACCCCAGCTGATTCATTCCCGCCTCGCTAGCGATTCCACCCTTACGCAGGTGGTTGTTCCATCGTTGGTTATCTTCCGATGCCAACTCCATATCCTCTTTCGTCTTGTACTTCAACAATTTGCATGTCCGCATCACACTGCCACGGGAGTCCCCGAATGCCAATCGGGCAAAATCCTCGTAAAATTGCACCACACTGTCGTCATCCAGCAATTCGGCAAGAAAAACGGGGTGCGGCCGCCCTGGGGTTTGATTCTCGCCCGCCGACCCGCGCGGAGTGAAACTGCGGGAGGAGGCCCCTGAGCTTGGAACAGATGTGCCCCCCGTGTTCACATTCAGATTTGGCTCCTTGCCCAGAAGCACATCCTTCTTCCATCCGGTCAAAATACTAAATTCCTTGCCCACCGCTGCAATCTCACCCGTTCGACGGCAGACAATCGTAGGCGTTCCGCAAGCGTTGATAAAATCCTCGTACTCCCAAAGGGTCCGCTGAAAGCACTTCTCCATGAAAATGAGATCGTCCCTATTTAACGTCTTTGTTGTCGCGATGAACGAGGGTCGAATTGAAGCCAGCGCCTTGGCAATTTGTAGGGTCTTCTGGGGAGGAAATCTCCGTTGAATGAAGGCAGTGAGATTGTGGAAGCGACTAGTATACGCGTAAGGCTCCTTTACACTCTCGTAGATCGAGGATGGATTCCTTTGTCGCCGGCGCACTCCCACATGCAGATTCTGGTGCTTCAGACTGGGTGTCGTAATGGCGGGTCGTTGATTGGTTGGAGCCAGGCCATTCGCCTTATTGGCAACAGCGACGCTAAACGGAGACTCTTCGAAGCCGCTCGTCATCTGAGGACTAGTTGTTGCGCCAGGGCTGTTGAAATGGCCCGGGCCGCTTTCGATCGCAAACGCATGAGGCGCATCGGCTTTGGACAAGTGTCCGGGTATCACGTTGCCTTGACTGGACTGAGGGTAGACGCTGGGAACATTAACATGCGCCTGGCCTGGAGCCTGGCTGCTCGGCCATTCGTTTAATAGCGGGTCACCGAACATGAACGGCTGCTGGTTGCCGGGACTTTCCCCGAACCCCGGTCCTCCGGTGATCGGAGTCGACGCAAATTGGGCAGATCCACTGCGACCCATAGACCCGCGCTGCGTGGCTGAATCGCTAGGCGAATCCCCAGCACCTGTCGCCATGTGTCCCAGCATACCAAACTCCAGCGCGCCGTACCGGTTTTCGAAGTTCATGCTAGAAAGATCAAAGTTGAATAAAGCAGGGTCACTGGGATCGAAGAATGGACCGGCGAACGGGTTGGGGTTCTGAGTAGGCGGACCCGAGGCACTCGTGGTCGTTGGCTGTTGATTGACTGAGGACGGAAGGTTGTTGTTTCGAATAGTAGGGGTGGCCTTGAGATTGTAGGACGGTGAGACGGGCGACTGCGATGGGAACGAGGCCTGGTTCATCGGGTTCTCTTGGTAGACATTGTAGGACGTAGATTGGGGAGTCGGGTAGAAATTGGCTCCAGAGTTCTGCGGTGCGGCCGCGTTGACGGCGTTGGCGCCGCTCCTTGACAATGGCAAACTATTATTGCGCATGGGATTGTTGTAGAAGTTTCCCGCAATACCCGGCATCAGGGCCCCGTCGGGCGCATCATGGAGGTACTTCGCCTTTTTTCGGACCCCATCCTGACATGCATCTTGCAACCCACGCTTGATACACCGCTGACACGGTCTCTCATCACCTGTGCGCAGAAAGCTCGATTAGTGGGCACGTCCTTAATCCAGCTACGCAATCGGCATTCCGCGACGCGTCACTCAAGAAGCGCGAATTAGAGCGCCTGAGCAGGCAGACACGAAGAAAAGCACGAGAAATTCCAATGCAAGAGGGGAGGAAAAAAGGAAAGCTAAAGACAAGGTCAGTCATACCGCAAGTCAAATGCGCCCGCTGGCAAGCGAAACAAGCCCTGCGCGCCTTTTTCCTCCGCGGTCTCGACGGGTCCTTTGCATTGGCTGCCTTTTGCCCAAGCGTCACGACGCCTTTGTCCTTCTCGTCGCCGTTCGCCTCCGTCTTGGGGGTTTCCGAATGCTCATCGGCAGACCTGATGTCATGATTGGGTTCAGTCGGCTCTACCGAGGGAGCTGGGGAGCTCTTCTCCTTGGCGTCCACGTCCATTTCGGCATGAATAGCCCGACGGAGCGGTGACTCGGTAAATCGGTCTAGGGTGAGAGCCGAGTTGCGCACGTGCAGTTGCGTGTCGAAAGGAATCTTTGCCGCCTCAAGGTTCGAACGCGAGCGATATAGCCGAGGATGTGTCACAGGCGCAGCGCCACGGTAGTTCCCTTTGAGTACGATCTCTCGGGCGTCCTCCAGAGAATTAGTCTGGAAAGAGCAGGTATGTGGTTGATTCGTGGTTTAGGCGCATGAAATCCAAGCACGGAGGTCGAAGTGCGAGAACGGAACGGAGAGCGGAATCGGCCGCAGAACGGAGGGTTGTAAAGGACGGACGGGCGGAGGTGAGGAGAGCTGAAGGGAGCCTTGCGTGCGGGACCGAGAGTAAGATGACGAGGTGGTCTGCAACTCGATAGAGAAGGATCAAATGCGACGAGTATTGAAGATGCTGTGTAGGACTAGTATCCCAACAATATTTTCACGATCACGCGAGCGACAATTCGAATGGGGGGGGGTTGTTAATTGGTAATAGTGGTAAGGTAGTTAAAGTGGAGAGCGAAGACTGGGCTCAATTTGTCAAGGCTGCGGGGGAAATCCAAGAGCAGGCGCGCAGCCAAAGTCGGTCGGGGAGGAGATATAAGGCACCGAACCCGGGGGGAGAGAGAGGAAGGGGAGAGAGGGGAGAGGGGATTGGCAACAGGAGGGGTAAAAGACTCAAGAGGAGGGGAGAGGAGAGCAGTAGAAGGACAAAACGCGGGGGTGAGAAAGTCAGAAAACAAGAAGAAGAGTTGAGTTGAGTAGTTAGCGACAGAAATGAGGGAATTGCCAGAAAAAAGAAATAAGGGAAAAAACGACAGACACGGCGAGGGCGTCAAGGATGCTGCGATCGATGGTTGGAGTTTCGGTACGGTTACCGTACCAGATTTACTCTTAGATACCAGACACTTCTGCATGCATGCATGCATGCAAGCAATCCACTGTCGCGTGTCGCTCAAATCTCACCGATCTTTTCCGTGGTGAGTCGAAGCAATTTAGATGAAAAGGATGTTGTTGCGGTCTGTTCCAAAGATCAAGCCCAAAAAGTTGCTCATTCAGGGGATTGGGACTGTGAGAGCCACCAGGGGCCATGTGAAAGTGTGAAAACGTGAAGATGTACTCCTTAAGAGATGTCAAAATATGAAAATGGCTGTCGCATGTGACACTAAAGGAAGACATCATCACTCTCTAACGAAACAAACTATATCTAGTCTGATCTCCCGTGTTGCACCGCCACTGTTCCACGATCGTTTGCAACACACCATTCAGTAGTTGAAGAAGCTCGACATTCACATCATAGAAGTCATGGATGGTATAAGGCACTAAGGGACCTATTGAACTACATGTAATCATCCTAATTGCCCAATTGAAGCAGATGTTCCCTCACTGTTGACCTATATAACTGTCTGATCCATAAGAGCTTTCCCTCGTAGTTCCCTCGGAGTTCCCGGTTAGCTACCGCCTGTACAGTACGTACTGTACAATACAAAAGCCTTCTTAGTTGACTTGAGTATAACTACTGCTTTAGTGTCAGAATTCTCCCACGTGTGAGCCTCTAACCTCCCAGGAACCGAGAAAATCAAACACAAAAATCCAAAAGCAAAGAAAAGCAAAACTGCACTGCAGCGGAAAAGAAATGCCTCAAAGATGATCCGGCGCACCAATCATTTCCTGGCTGTATTAGTCTGCCCCCGGGTTTTCCCGTTGGGTTGGCCCTGGTTGCCCGATCCTGCCCGATATGACTGTTGCTCTCTGCTCTCAAGTCTCAGTCAGGTACTCCGTACACAATCGAAGTTGGCATGGAATAGAGTATGCCTCGGCTATATTAGAAATGATGTGATTTTTCTAGTCTGCGCGTTGCAAAGGTAAGGAAGGGAGTAGAAGTTCGCAGAGAGGTGTGGCAAAGTATAGTTCTGACCCTGTAAATATGGATGGATGGATAGTTGTCGGTGTTCACTAAACAATTGGTCCGCTGGAAAGGACGGTGTGACTCTAACCCGTCCAGCTAAGCCATGGAATCTCTATTTATTTCTAGAAATATTTCGTGCCGGCTGTGATCTAACAGCTAGATCCGCCAAGGTCGCCCCAGCGCCTCGGGTCGTCATCGGTCGTTGAAAAACAAGCCGGGCAATAGTAGTGCCCGCAGTTGCTGTAGGCCACTATTATGGTTGCATATACATCATCCAAGAACCCATTGGATCTTGTCTCGCATCGGCCAGATCTAGCCGGCAAAGTGCTTCCGGGTAAGACGATGTCTACATCTTCGCAATCTTGGAAGATATAGTCGGGACGATCATACAGCAAATCGGCTCTTCTTTCGAATGCGGTTGCCATAAAGGTAGAATATGTACCTAATCAGGGGAAAAGAAGCATTGCAGTCAGCACTCGTAGCCAGATTGACTCCGGGATAGTAAGATTGTTGCCAGAGAGAAAGAGACGTGGATGTGCTTTCAGGCGTCAGATATGTCATGTTGCCGCCGCTGCAGATCTCTATGCAAGGGGGCATCGGCGGTCCGCATAACGACATTGCAGAATCGGCATTGAAGGCAGACAAGACGACGCAGACGACACCATCAAACACGCAACAAAAGGAGTTCTTACGGGAATGGTGCCATAACAAGGGTCAGAAAAGCAAGAAGCGATGTTGCCCAATGATACCCCAGGTTGTTGTACACTGTAGTCATGCGTTAGCGATCGGCGATCAGGATGCATTTCCTCCAAGGATGGTAGATCTCAGCGTGAAATTAAACACGCTTGAAAGTAGAAGAAAGACACCCAACAGGTTTGATTACGCATGAATTTACCAATCTTAGGTTTTCCATTCGAGCTAATATCGGGGGAACTTACTTTGAATACCGAAAAGAGGGAAAACTCCGCCAAAGATAGAGCGCGCAAAGCTGTTCGCGGCCAGCGCACTGGCAGCATAGGTCGGATATGCGTCGACTAGAAAAGTGAAAATCCCCGAATATACGAGAATGGTCCTACGTGCGACGAGTCAGAACTGATGGGAGGCGAAGAAGCTTCAAAAAAGACCATGTCCGAATGAGTGGCGCATGAAGATTGGTACAGAGTACAGACAGGAAGCTCAAACGATGCACAAACTTACCCTGCTCCAAAGAAGGCACTACCGATGAGTGGTACGATCCAGTGCACATGGGGATAGATGGTCCAGGCGAATATGAACAGGCCGATGGTTACAAGGGGACCCCCGGCAATTGCTGCAACATCATCGCCATCAGAAGCTGATCACAAAGTTTAAGCATGGCTAACATACCTGGTGGGAGCCGCCATTCCGGCTGGAAGTCATCCAACTGTCCAGTCGCCTTCTCGTGATTTTCCTCCAAGCGGACATAGTTACGGCGCCACAATGGGTCTGTGAAAATGGCAAGGAGCATACCGACGAAGAGGCCGAGAAAGCAGAGACCTCGCTGCCACAGCTCAAAGCCATAAACATTTTCGAAGACCAGCTGGAATGCACCAAAGAACAGGTAGAGAATACCCAGCAGAATCGCCGAGAAGATACAAAGGTTCAAACACATTGGCTCCATGGTCAGCAGGAGCAGGGGTCTGTAAGTAGACCGCATAACTGTCTGTGCTACCGAACGTTGCAATTTCTCAATCGGCGCCTGCCACCTCTCATCGCCTGTCTCTTTGCGCAATTTCCGGGCTTTGCGTCTGAGCAAACTGCATGACCATTGTCAGGCGGCGGTCATGAACAGGATCAAGGTACAATACAGAAAAGACCACTTACACGGGATGATACGTTTCCGGGACAAAGGAGACAATCAAAACCAACAGAACGCCTGTCCATATCAGGAGGACATAGAATGTCCAGCGCCTTGCAGGAAGATCAGCCGAGAAACGTTCACTGATTGAGCAGGAAAGGAAGCCTACCAACTGGTAAATTGGTTGATGAACCCACCAACACTAGTGTTGTCAGCATGCCCTGCAACGTCATTTGTGGTGACCAAGAACCTACAGTGGACCCAGCTCGGGTCCTATGAAGGGAGAGCTGGTGTATAGCATCATCGGTGCGCTAAGCTCATGGCGGGCAAACAAGTCGCCTACAGTACCACCGGCGACACTCAAAAACGCACTGCCAGCAATGCCACCAAAGAAACGACAGATAATCAATGTTTGGATATCCTGGGCTACTGCACAGGGTATGAGCCAGATCAAGAAGAGTGAGAATGAGCAGATGTAGATATAGCGTCGACCATAAAACTACTGAGGTGTCAGTCGATTCGTCCGTATATGCCCGCTGACAGTCCAGCTCCTAGAACAAGGGGCAGAAAGTTGCACAAACCTCGGACAAAGGAGCTAGGAATAGCGGCCCGACCGCTTCATGAGTTCGAGGTTAGCATTGCCAACACTTTGGAGGGGAGGCTCCTTCACACTATTCGTACTGACTTACCAAGGCCCCAGATGAAGAATGATAATCCCAGCGTTGCGACCAAACGAGAGCAGTTGAACTCCTCTATTAGCTGGCTGTAGGTGACAGTGTACATAGACGATGTGCAGGTCCTTCAGACAGACGGTCATATCAGCATTGGTCAAATATATGATCCGACATGGGACACTTACACGCAAAGCGAGCCTAGCGAGCATATAATCACAATCAGCCATCTCCGCAAGGTGTTGAAGTTGCGCGGGTTCATCGGGTCATGCTCATCCCAGCCGACAATGAAAGCCTCAGGGTCGTCGGCGGCTAGCCCTTCCTTTCGACTTGGGATCTTCTCGACCTCGTCATCGTCTGGCATGTTATAGCTATAGCCATCGGTCAGGGAGTAGCTACGCGAGTGCACTCGGCGCATCTGGCTCTCATGTGACGTGACGCGACCTGTGATGGGAGCGTAAGCCCCATCAACCTCAAATTCCGGATTCCTGACAGTCGCATGGTTTCCAATATCTTGATGCGAACTCGCGGAGCTTCGGTCGAGATATAGCTCGGACGTCTCTCGCGAGACCTCATCTGTCTGCCCAGGTTCAGACATGGTGCCGGGCCGGACAAGATGAAGGACTGTGTACGACCATGGAAACAATCAATCGCTGTGATCTGTTGAGTCTCGCGAGCCTGTGTGCTCCTCGGCCTCTGTGTGTTCTTGTTGCCGGGTGAACTTTGTCGAGCTAAATCGCTGTTGCTGCGGAATACGGAGTATATCTCCTGCAGAACCGGAAGCGATCTGCAGGCCAGTTCGACGGGAACTGACGGCTATCGGAGAATTACTCCCAGGAAAGCTTGTGACGGCTTGGTCAATGCAATAGGCATGGGCATAGGAGAGGAGCTGAAATCACAGTTGCAGAAGAACGAGGGGGATGAAAAGATGGGGAGGGATTGACCGAGAGAAAGTCGGGGAAATGGCAGCAGCTGGTAAGAGACGGAACCCCCACTCCGACCAGGGGAATTCTCCACTGGTGCTCAGTGACCTCACAGGCTCACAGTCACGGCTAATGGCTTACATATACTATATAAGTTAACTAGTTCGAGATTAGAAGAGGGCCCAGCCAAGAGCATTTAGCTTATCGCGCTGATCGTTGGCAGGTCCGACGGTGTTATTAGTCTCGCCCCTCGGCCTTGAGCAAAGACCGAGCAGCAGCCTATACCCACTCACTCATACACTTATCTATCGGTTGACTCCGAATTACTAACTACATGTGTACGTACGTAAAGATAATTGACTCAGAACCACGCGCATTCAGATATAGATATCCAGGACTTGACTTGCAGCGAGCACCAAAGCACTGCGTAAACCATTTGACCAAAATTCTTACGGAGATGGTTTCTATTACACTTAAAAGAAAGCCTAGCTATCGCCCAAACACAGTCTTCGCCCCACAACCCGCAGAGCAAGATCCCGGCTCTTAAAACACAATTGATTCAATAGCCGCCTTTTCAGTCCCAAGGAAAGAGAATACCCCCAAAACGCCAATCAATTCCACAACAAAACGATCGCCGACACACAAAGTGAACAGTCCCAAGCGCATCACAGCCCCCGAATACACACACTCTCTGTCTTCCTCATCCACTCCTGCCCCACCAACTCATTTCGAACTACAGTCAAAGATGTACATGAACACACAGAGAGAAAGTCATTCCACAATTTAGGCGGTAGCCGGCGTTACCTGCGAAGCCGCCTCTTCGCTGGCTCCCTCCTCGGCCCATGAGCCCCAGAGAGCCCGCTTGCCACGGATTTTGAGAGAGCCACCGACAGTGTCAGGGCGTTGTTCAACCTGAACCGCATCCTTGGTGGCAAGGACGAGGACCTCGAAGAACATCTTAGTCGCATCCGCCTTGGAGGCCTTCTTCTCGGGCAGGATTTCCTGGAACTTGACGCTCTTCTTCTGCGCCTCAGCCGATTCTCCAAGGCGTTCGCGAAGAATGTGGACAGCGTGCTTCGTGCCCAGAGAGACCGGTCCGCTATCTTGAACAATTGTATCTTCGGCTTCCTCCAGCGTGTGATCCAGTCCTTCGTCTTCACTCAGGTGCAGAGCGTGGTTGTCTTCTTCTTCGTCGCCTGGGAAATCGATGTCCGAGCGCTGGTGGAGTGTAGAGTCCATACCCACGCCCTCATCAATGGGCAAAATCGTGTCTTCTTCGCCGAGTTCCAAAGCCGGGGCGGTAGCCGCCTCCACGTCCATGTCTGCAATTCCACTGTCACGCTTGCGCTTCAACTCACCGGCCTTCTGAACCGTGTCGAAAGAAAGCAGGTCCCGAAGTTCAGGCGCCCAACCACGTCCCCGGTCACCGCCGAGCACACTCGACACAAAGTCACCGTTCTTTTGCATGTTCATCAAAGTCAAAAGCACAGGGTCCCGGGGTAGCCACGACGAAGGCTTCATGATGTGCGTGCAGTCCTTGGCCTGGTCTTTGACTTCATTCTGGGGGCGATCGGCTACCTCGTCCAAGCCCATGATAACAACCTTGCGCCGCTTCGCCCGTTGCTCGTGCTGGGCAATTGTCTCCTCCCCAGCTTCGTCATCTCTCTCTTTGTTCGCGGCGGCCTCCTCGTCCGAATCGAGGAGCCTGTTGACCCGTTCTTCCGACATATCGGTCAGGACGGTGCTTTCGCGCTCAAATCGCTCATCGGCATCGGGGGCAGCTTCTTCGGCGTCGCCAAGGTCCATAGGGTCGTCCAATTGCATGAGGTTATCGTGAAAGCCGTCATCGCCAAGATCCATTTTGTCCAAGGGGGCGTCGTCTTCACCAAGATCGAGGTCCAGTTGCAAGTTGTCGACATCGTTGAATTTCCCACCATCGCTGAAAAGATCCTCTTCGACGGGGCGGGGGGCGGGGGCATCTCGACCAACTTCCATACTGAAATCGTGACCCAACGGCGTCTCATCTTCTCCCAGGTCCAGATCAACCAGCGTGTGGTCTTCGAGGCGCGCAGGTTCTTGCGAGGCCGAGCGCCGCAAACCAGTATCAGGCAGAAGTTGGCTTCCAAAATCCATAGATCCCGGTCGCTTGCCTTCAGATTCCAAGTTGAGCGACTGCGGGATGAGAAGAGCAGAATCCAGGTTCATAAACAAATCAGATTCGGTGAGAACGTCAGGCAATGTGATGCCACCGGGGGCGACGACCGTGGTTGTCAAGTCATTGTTGTTTGTTAAGCGGAAGGCCTACACGGTTAAGTAGTTAGAAAACAAGGAAACGAATCGATAAACGAAGCGACGAGGCGTACCATCTTGATTTTCATAAGAGCCTCGTTACAATCATCCAAGAGATAGCGCGCTTTGCGGCTATAGATACGAACAACACCCAATAGCAGCTGACCACTGAGTCGCAATGCCATAGGCGCCTGTCCTTGATCGACAATGGCGCTGACACTGCTCTCAATATCGGACTGCAGGATATGCGACTTCGAAAGTTTGCGTTCTAGGTTAGCGGACAGCCAGACGCGGGCCAGCGGCCCGGTCTTCGAGAGAAGCGTCTCCGAGTAGAACATATTGGCGCTGAGATAATATAGAGATCAAGCCAAGTTTAATCGTAAGATGAAGCCAACGATGGAAGGACCCTTCCAAAAAGAAACCCGCCCGGTGCCGGGGGGTGGGGGAGGGGGTGGTGTGTAGTGTGTGGTGTGTGGTGATAAGTTCCCTGGCAACCAACGTACGATGACGCGCCGGGAGTTGAAAACAACAGGATCAGCGAGTGGTGCTCGCCCCCTACGGCGTTTGAGGAGGTGCGACCACACTAACCCGACTGATTTGAATCAGGTAGTAGTGGGTAAAATGTGATTGAATAGTAGTCGCGTCAGTTGCGACCTCAGCGTAAACCCTACAACAAATAGGTTGGAGGGGAAACGAGATGGGGAGGGGTGGTTGAGTTGGATTGAGAAAAGAAGGCGGTTTGGGGGGGGGTGGTGTGGTGGATGTGGAAATGGGAGGAGAGGAAACAAGAGGGAGCGCGTCTCAATGACTGGTGGTTTCCAAGGCGGAAAGGACTGACTGATACGTACGGTACTACAACATTAAAGCTACGGTACTGTTGCCCAGCCTCCCTCCCCTCCCCACTCGAACCCATGTCAGCTGATTGGCGGTAAGGCAAGATGGCTGGGGTCACGTGTTGTTATCCAGCTTTATGTTTCAATAGTTCTTATGTAAGCAGATACTCAAGCAGTTGCACTGCGGCTCGCACTAGTCCTAGTGCGGCATCCACGGATCAACGCGTCATCCGAAAACGCTAGTCTGCATCGGGCAAAGCGAAAAGAAAGTCCCAAAGAGGCAGCAAAAGACTCGAGCCTCTTGTGGTTGAAGGTCCGATTCAATCCTCAATAGTGATTCTAGCTTGGTCGCTTTGGTGCAGTTTGTATTTCACCTGCCTGCATAACAATAAATCGTTTGCGCGTTTCACTTGATTTCTGCTTATCGCGACTCTCCGATTGTTATATTCTTAAACTCAAGGCACATACATACATACTCCTAGTCAGTTACTACGACTTACTGAGTACAGTACCTCCCCCGTACCAACCACGACTAATCAGTGGCCGCAAGCCGAGCGGCAGCACGGCCCTGTCCTGTCCCTGTGTCCACTTGCTAGCGACCAGTGACCACTCCCCATCCTGGCTTAATCCCAACTGAACTATTATCGATGCAGTTACGGCCAGCTCGCGCCTACGAGTACTAGAACGTGGCTTTCTCGCCGTGCCCGCCGTCTTGGAATTTTCCTGCGATCTGGAACATTCACCCTTCCTTCCCCTAAAAGCCACACCCCTCAAATCATACACTCCCTCAAGTTCAAATCTGGTTCCCGACGGGATGGTAAGAGCTGGTGCTTGATCTTCTTGGGCGTTATTTTTCTTCCCTTTCTTTCGACAAAGCATGAGAGATGTCAAGGTCCGAAACACCCTCGCTACCTCTTCATAATGCCCAGACCGATTTGAGGCCTCAATCGACGACACCCGCGGGTGTACGTTCTACTATCTCCCCCTCAGTAAGTGGACGAAAGTTTGACTTCGACGACCGTCGCATTCGCATTCCATGATCTGTCTGCAGCTTCTTATGTGGTTCATGGGCACGGCTAATCTCGAGCGCCACGCACTGGATAGACATCTACCTCTACGTACTCGCAGCTAAGCCCACAAGAAACAGCAGAGCGATTGCAGACCTCGCTCATCCATGGACTCACTCCGGCGGAGGCGGAGGTTCGCCTCGCACGCGATGGACCGAACGAACTACCTCATGAAGACCCGGAGCCTATCTGGCTTCGGTTTTTGAAGCAATTTCGTGAGACCCTGATTCTGCTCCTGCTGGCCTCCGCGGGAGTATCCTTCGTTATGGGTAATTACGATGATGCGATCAGCATTACCCTCGCCGTCACTATCGTCGTCAGCGTCGGCTTTGTCCAGGAATATCGGTCGGAAAAGTCCCTGGAAGCCCTAAACCGTCTCGTTCCTCATCATGCGCACCTGATTCGCGACATTCCTTCGAACAGTCCTCCCATGGCAAATTCGAGCGCGGCAGCCACTGCGGAGATTGAACTGCAGGAGCTTCAAAGCAAGAGCCCGTCCATCTCCAACGCCGTCAAAGCGTCAACCATTGTTCCAGCAAACGAGTTGGTGCCTGGTGATTTGGTCCTGTTCACCGTTGGAGACCGCATCCCAGCCGACATTAGAATCACGGCAGCCACAGACTTGGCCATTGACGAATCCAATTTGACTGGCGAAAATGAGCCAGTGGTCAAATACTCCGACGCCATTCGCAGTTCCAAGTCCCTCCCGATTCAACCACCTCGGTCCCCGTTTTATGATGCACCTGCCAGCGGCGCGGTTGGCGCAGATATTCGTTTGAATGAACAGCACAACATCGCTTTCATGGGAACTTTGGTACGCTCAGGATATGGACAGGGGGTTGTCATCGGAACTGGTGCGCAGACCGAGTTTGGTAGCATTTCCATGTCGCTACAGGAAATTGAAAGCCCACGGACTCCGCTACAGCTATCAATGGATCGGCTCGGCCAAGAGCTGAGCTACATCTCCTTTGGGGTCATCGCACTGATCGTTGTGATCGGCTTGATCCAGGGTCGGAAGCTTCTCGAGATGTTCACTATTGGTGTGTCGCTCGCAGTTGCTGCGATTCCAGAAGGGCTTCCAATTATTGTAACGGTAACTTTGGCTCTGGGGGTTTTGCGCATGGCCAAGAGAGGAGCTATCATGCGAAGGCTACCCAGTGTCGAGACCTTGGGATCGGTCAATGTTGTGTGCAGCGATAAGACCGGCACGCTGACTCTCAACCACATGACTGTAACTAAAATGTGGCACTTCGATTGCTCCGAGCCATTTGAGGTTCACAGCGACATCACGTCGCTGACTCCAGGGCCCGCAGCTCGGACCGTGCTTCGTATTGGGAACATCGCCAATAATGCCAGATTGTCTCGTGTACATGCGAATTCTCCGGCCAGCGCATCCTCCGCTGCCGTGCTGTCCTCAACTGATGATAGGGCTTCGGGGAGCGTTCGGAGCAGATGGGTTGGGCAGCCGACAGATGTTGCGATCCTCGATCTACTGGATATCTTTGGCGAGGACGATGTACGCGATCGAATTAGCGCTCGTGTTGCAGAGACTCCGTTCAGTTCCGAGCGCAAATGGATGGGTGTCATTATCGGTAGCGGCACACCTAGCGAATCATCTTCACTAGCCGCTCCAGGAGGCACTAACATGGCCTACATCAAGGGCGCACTTGAGCAGGTCTTGGCGCGTTGTGATACCTACCTGACCAAGGACGGGCGGGAGGTGATCCTGGATGAACCTCGACGACAAACCGTGCGACAGGCGGCTGAACAGATGGCATCAGAAGGGTTGAGAGTCCTTGGTTTTGCTAGTGGTGTATCGAGAGACGGTAAAGGGAGAACCCTTGGCAGCCGATCGGGTACGCCTGCATCACGCACCAGTCAAAGCGATGATGATGAGCGATATACCGGGCTTGTTTTTGCTGGGCTGGTGGGAATGAATGATCCCCCCCGCAAGGATGTGCACAAGTCTATCCGGCGATTGATGGCCGGGGGCGTGCGGATCATCATGATCACTGGAGATGCCGAGACTACTGCAGTTGCTATCGCTAAGAAACTAGGAATGCCCGTTAATGATACCCCTGGGTCCCGGCCCGTCATCAGCGGTGAGGAAATCGAGCGGATGAGCACTACCGAACTCTCCCAGGCAATTGCTTCGACTTCGATCTTCGCCCGTACGAGTCCAGACCACAAGATGAAACTGGTTCGCGCCTTGCAGGCTCGCGGGGATGTGGTAGCCATGACTGGGGACGGTGTCAATGATGCACCAGCCCTGAAAAAGGCGGACATTGGGATTTCTATGGGCAAGTTAGGTACCGACGTCGCCAAGGAGGCGGCGGATATGATCTTGACAGACGACGACTTCTCGACCATTCTGCGGGCCATCGAGCAAGGCAAAGGCATTTTCTACAATATCCAGAATTTTATCACCTTCCAGCTCAGCACCAGCGTGGCTGCCCTCAGTCTTGTTCTGCTGAGCACCACTCTGGGCTTCAAGAATCCATTGAACGCGATGCAGATCCTCTGGATTAGTGAGTAGTCCTGGCCTCATGTCATTTATATGCCCTTGCTGATTTATCTCACCTAGACATTCTTATGGACGGTCCCCCAGCACAATCTCTGGGCGTAGAGCCGGTTGATCCCTCCATCATGAACCGCCCTCCGCGCCCGAGGTCAGCTAGGGTCTTGACGAGGCCACTCATTCAGAGGGTTCTGACCTCGGCCATGGTGATTATGCTCGGCACCTTAGCCATCTACGTGTACGAGATGGGCGATGTAGATGATGTCGGTCATCCCGGCAAGCGCGCGCGCGTGGTCACGGCTCACGATACGACGATGACGTTCACCTGCTTTGTGCTGTTTGATATGTTTAACGCCCTGACCTGTCGCAGCGAGGGCAAGTCGGTCCTGCGGGGCGAGATCTCGCTATTCAGCAACAAGATGTTCAATTACGCCGTGCTGGGCTCCTTGGCTGGGCAGGCGTGTGTCATCTACCTGCCATTCTTGCAGCGGGTGTTCCAGACAGAGGCGCTGAACCTGGCACACCTTTTCAAGCTGGTGTGCATCTCCAGCAGTGTATTCTGGGTAGACGAGGCGCGGAAGTATTGTCTGGCGCTGCAGCGGCGGAGGGCCGTTGGGGTGGGGTATAGCTCCAATGTCTGATAGATGCATGGGTATGAGTGGGTGGGCTGGGTTGAGGTTTCTGGGTTAATAATGCCATCATGGCTCAAATGTGTATAGAACAAATGATACGGTTCTTGTGTATCTTACTTAATATTGACGAATACGACAACAACGCAGCTTGGAAATGCGAATCTGTGCGTAATTCCATACCCCGGTCTTGACAGCAGTGTAGACTGCATGACTATCTGGGTAAGGAATCCCTTGGTTAGCGGACCAGGCCATGGTTTGCAGGCGTTAGGATTAGGGGTACTCGCAGGCGATGTAGGAGAACTGCTACACTTGGTCGAGTCATGGCGACCGACATTGATAAAAGAAAACAGTGCCACTGGCCTGCACTCCTCAAACTTTTTGTCCGGTCTTGCTTCGGGGCTATCCTATGTTATCTACTACCAGTCTGTAAACTTGGTATGAGCAGGCCCGCGTATCCCAGAGCTGAGAAGATGCCGTGTAAGCAAAAAAACAGATGACCTACGCAGGGCTCGAACCTGCAATCTCTTGATTCGTAGTCAAGCGCCTTACCATTGGGCCAGCAGGCCTTGCTGATGAAGACGTTCCTTTTTCAATGCTCTATGCCTCTAAAACTTAGCTTGTGGTTGTCTTTCGCACTTCGTTGCGACTATGCAATGTATAACTTCTCTATCTTGTAATATCTTGGCATTTTTGTTGTAGATGAGGTTGAGTGTCTCTTGGATGCTCTCTTCTCCGCGCTCGGAACTTGCTGGGGCTGATGGAAAGTTGCAGGGGTTCGTTCCTTGCCTAGGTGGGTATATATTCTACGTGGGTGGCCCCCTGTCTCCTAGAGGTACCAGGACAGGTCTACGAACATTGAGACTGTACGCTTGGATGATCACACTATACCCGCGTACGGGGTGTAACCCAATGCGACGACAAAACAGGCCACGTGTACATTCGACGGAGGCAAGCAATGGGAGGAGAATATGCAACAAGCACGGCGTCCCTGGCGCAACACCAAGCGCTATAACCACATAAATAGAGTCCCGAGACACATGATACAAATGACCACAGCCATTACCGATGGCTGATCAGATGCCACATGTATACGTACAGCTGGATACTGTAGTGTCGTGCGATTAAGCACTCTCAGCCCTGAAAGGTACGGTGCATGCTAAACCCCAGATTCCTTCAAATAGGCCGATAATTGGCCCTGGTCTGCTCCCAGAAGGACCTGTCGCGGCTTCCCTTGATCGGCCCAGGTCATCTCCTACTATGCATGCCCTCTTCGCCCCGAAGGAGACTTGCATCGTCTGGAGACGAAGTAGCTAAGCGGGGCATGAGCGAGCACTGAAAGATACAGCAAAGACACCGAAGAACACACACATCTAGCCCGCTAATAAGCCACAGCCATCCTGACTACAAAATATTTGCCACGATATCTATGATCTGCATCTCGGTTATCTACTCGATATGCGAGAGGTTCCCACGTTCGTCGGGCCCACAAAAATCTTCTCGCCTCCTACCATTCCCCGGCACCTTTTTTTCCCCAATCATTTTTTCTTGGGTCACTTCTAAGTTCTGCCTCTTATTTTTACTCGTAAACCCACAAGCCCACCAGATGCTCCAAGATCATGTCTCAACCCACACGTCGCATCAATCCAAACACGGAGACCAGTCCCTACTTCTGGGGTGCCCGGGAGATCCACCAAGATAGGGTTGCGTGGAGACCTGGAGCCCGCTCCGAAAATACGTAAGCACATAATCCGGCCTAGATTACATCATCACAGCCCGGATGGTCTAGTGGTATGATTCTCGCTGTAAGTTCACACTTTACAACATACCACAAGCAAAGACATCTCTAACTTTCCTAGTCGGGTTATAGCTCAAAATGCGAGAGGTCCCGCGTTCGAATCGCGGTTCGGGCCCTGATAACTTTTTTTTTTTTTCATCTGGGCTGTTGACTCGATGAGTTCGCTAGCTATTAGGGCGGCGGGCTCATGGGCCATGGCGGTTCCTCATTTTCCCGATGCCCGCTCGGGATGGCTCGGAGCCCTCTCCGCGGGTTGCGCGCCTCGTCGCTTTCGCAGTCGCCGCCGCCGCCGCCGGCCCGTCGAGTGTTTCAGAGACCTCCGGTATAGGCGGATCGTTTTGAAGCTATCATGATTCCACCCCGTGATTCGGCTTCGAGGCTATATAGGTGTACATTGCCGATGCGGTTGGTTGGAAATGCTCTACTCTTATGTCGGCAGGTATAATGAATGCGCATTGATGACTGATAAGCAGGTGTAAGCATCGCTGCCTTGTCCGCGGCAAATTCATGTAATTACCGGTAGAGGCCTAGATTGGGAGGAAGGCGGGGGGGGGGGGGGTTTCGATCCAGTGCCCACAGTACATTGGACCTGGACACAGGAGCAAGAAGGTGGGCAGGTGGGGTCCAGATGGACTCCATCCCTCCGCCCCCAGGCTTTTACCACTCTGTCTTCAGCAGACCCAAGCTCTGGGTAAGTTAACCTAGTCTATGACTGCAGGAGTTGGTGGAAGAGCCGATTTGAGTCCCGATGGCCCAGCACAATAGCCCTGGAAAAGGCCTACCGATATTCGGATATAGGCTTATGAGTAAGTATGTACGTCTGGTTGCCCCAGTCAACTACTGGATGAAGGCTAGTTCATATGTTTTTCAACTTAATTTCTGAGGTTCAAGAATATATCATCTCCGCTTGGTAACTCATCACCATGCTCCTGTCTGTGTTTCCCTATAGAGGGGTTATGTCAATGTCAGGTTGTGTCCGATTGACCATAGACTATAAAGCACATTGGTACTCAAAGGCGTAACTTGAACGGAGTAGGTAGACCTTAACTACCGGTACGGATAGACAAGCTGACTGTATACTGCCAAGACCTCCAGCCTGCGGGTGATTTAGGGTAGTCCATCCTTCACAATGAAAGTTTGGCCCACAAACAGAGGGGCTTCGATTGGCCAAGCTTCTTGTTATCAGCACGATGGAGCCGCTTGACGCTTGGGCTAGACTGTTTCCGGCGGTAGCGGAGCCCCAGCCCGGCTTGGGTGGCGTGCAGTACCTTATCGTTCCCTCCCAGCCAATCGTTCCCAAGCAATGATGAGCTCAGAGAAATCAACCTTGATAAGACCGTATCTTTATCTTTCCCTTTTCCTCCGTCCAGATTGAGGTTCCACGGAACAGGCTGAGTGGATTCCTCCAAACAGAATGGAAGGAGGCAGACAGGCATACAGGCAGGCGAGACTTGAAACCGTGAAACTTCCAACCTGGGACACCCTGGGATCGACACTTCTCCGCAAGAGAGTTTCGTATCCTTCGTAATAGTGATAAACCATTCCAGGAGACAGGGGCGAGGAGTACGCGACTATGAAATTGTTTCTTGTTTCTGGTCCGAGGATACAGTACAGGGACGACTGCTTGGACCGGAACCAATATCATTCATAGGGGACATCGTGCCGGAGTGCCAAGTCTCAAAAATGCGATGCCTGGAAAACCAGCAGTAAGCGACCTCTACTTACAGCCAGTAGTAAAGTAGGCATTCAGATGCAATCTCATGCTTCAAGCCGACCACTGTCCGTTTTGTTATCGTCGGGAAGGAGCGATAGGGAACGCGAGGTCGACAGGATGGATGATACGTAGCTATCTCTCTACCGTAGCTGCCCGGAGGTCCGTAGGCATAAATACATGTTCATCGAGCCCTGTTGTCCCTTTCAATGACGGGGGATTTTTTTTTTCTCGCCAGACCAGCGGACCACATTGTCAGTGCTGATGGAGAGGCGGACGGTGATGGAGGGCCGATCCATACATGCACCAGGTTGAATGTGACAGTACTGACAGTACATACGCCCAGTGCAGAATATCCCCCACGACCAACAGCTCTCAAGCCACTTGCTTCAATGACCCCTCGACTGTCCTGATGCATCGGAGGCTCAGGTCTGGGCAGTACTTCTTGTCCGCCAATGATGAGGCCAATGGAAGCGAGCGGGATGGTATCTCGTAACCTTGATTGTGATACCGCAGTTGAGGGCAGTTGAGGGCAGTTGATGCTAATGACGGTCATCCGCGGCTGACAGGGTAGGGTAATCAGCTTATTTGTTGACCCCAGGATTCCTCCGCTGTCGCGCGACAGCCAGGATTCAGGAAGCATTCCCCGTGCTTCTGATATATGTCTACATAGGATATACTATGTAGATAGCTGATTTGAGTCAGTAGGATTGGACAGGGGGTGCCACCGACTAAACCGCATTCTGTAGGCGCATACCGAGCCTTGCCTGGTTTCGGGGTGGTCTGCCCCGTCTCTTCCCGGCTTTTGCCACGAGGGAATAATCGATGTCTGGACTGATTGACTGGCAGATAAAGCTGAGAGCCATTGACATGGAACAGTCGATGAAGAATGACGAGAGAAGAACGATGGAAATCTCAATAACTAACGAATGAAGGCATTCTGAATGCTCTCATCATCATCAATCAGTACATGAATGAATGCACAGAGGATGGATGCACACATCACAGTATCCTTGAAGGTTGCCGTGGAAGGGAAAGTTGCAAGGGTTCGCCGTTCGGTCGAGGATCATCGGGCCCGAGTTTATTTTATCCCATTTGATTTTTCAACTCTTTCACTCCCTTCGTTATCGCACGCCCTCTGATTGAGCAGACCACCTTTTTTTCCCCCCAATTTATTATTGTTATTATTATATTTTTTTTTCTTGGAGTTTCTTTTACCGATGGCCTTTTTTATTTTCCCTGTCCAGTCCACCATCATGAGCTTCTTTTCCATTTCATCATCCTCCTTCTCCTCCTCGTACTCATTCTCATCTTCATTCTCACTTTCCCTCCATCAAAGTTGCCTGGAAGCCTTCCAGCTGCTTATCTCTCGGTTTTCGACGCAGTTCCAGCCAGGCAGGGCCGATCGGTTTCATCTGGGCCTGGGAGCATAGCAATTCTTCGGTTCACCGTGAAAAAAACAGCTCCACCTTGACCTTCCGGTGCCCAACGGGGGGGATCGGGATCCATTCTTGCTTCAATTCAGAATTCAGAACAGAACAGAAGAGTTCAGGGAGTCTTTCCCACTCTATATCTACCACTCAATCCTCAAGCGTCCTGTGGTTTACTTCGACCCACTCCGGTGTCTTTCCAGAAAACTCGTTGCCAGTCAATTACACTTCGTATTTATATCTTGCCCACGCCTCCGCCCCGTGGCGGTTTCTCCTTCTCCACATCCGACGGCGGAGTTCTTCTACTACGCATACTAGACTCCTCTTACTCCTACTCCTACTACCACCCTCGACTTACTTCATCCATCCTCCTCCTCCTCTTCGCCTCTCAATTCCTTTTTCCCTCCCTCCTTCCACCCTTTTCCCCCCCCCTCCTCCCTCCGTACCATCTCTCCCTCTCCACTGACGTTGATTCCGTCAATCATTCCGATCTCGGGTTGACTACGCCTTCAATCCCGACTCCTCCCTTCCTACCTTTCAAACCTTCTTTCGTCACGCATTTCCTACGCACCCTCTTTCGGTGCTTGACTTCTCTCCAGCTTCCCCCTCAGATCTCTCATACCTTTGGTCATAACAGAAGGAAGAATATCTGGTATCGCTCGACATATTGCCACTGGTTCATCCCGTCACTCCACCCCTCCGCCATCCGCCAGTTCTCAGCGTGAGGACAACTTGGGCGGTGGTGACTCAATTCGCTCTCAACCATCTCACCTCAATTGTGTGCATCTAAATCTACACCATCCGCCAATTGAACCGCCACGATGTCGGGTAACGTCGGCGTCTACATCCCTAAATATGCGTCTTACAACTGGACGGGCGCACCCTCCGATTACGAAGCCCTTGCTACCAATGAACTGGGAGGCGATTCTCGTATGTGATCCTGTGCGGGCTAGACAGCCTCCCATTGCCCCTCACACCAATGCTTACCCCGGTCATAGGAACGGAAAACCTGAACAAATGGTTTCAATCCGGAGACCAGGCCTTCATCATCGTGTCCGCTGCTATGGTCATGGTTATGATTCCCGGTCTAGCGTTCCTATACTCTGGTCTCGCCCGTCGAAAGTCGGCTCTCAGCATGATCTGGGCCTGTATGGCTTCGTTCTCCGTCGTCACGTTTCAATGGTACTTCTGGGGCTACTCCCTCGCCTTCTCACCCACCGCCACCAACGGATACATCGGCAACTTGCGCAACTTCGGTCTCATGAAGACGCTCGCCGACCCCAGCCCCGGATCTCCACTCATCCCAAATCTGCTCTATGCCTTCTATCAGGTACACTTCCCTATCATGCTCGTGGGTTTTATCTAGGAGACTGACCCTGTTCTTGGTATTTAGATGCAGTTTTGTGGTGTAACGGCAGCTATCATTATGGGAGCCGTGGCCGAACG